GGAGTTAGAGAGTAGATGATATCAATGTTTCTCAAACTCTCGGGGGAAAAAATTTTTTTTTAAATGTTAAAAGTACACAAAATAAAAGTACAAATATTTTTTATTTGATTCCATACACATAAAACTACAATAAATATAATCTGAACAAAGACAACATTGGGGAAAAGATAATTGTAAAAACTGTCTATGTTGTTCACTGAAAGTGTATATTACACAAATGGTTTTATATCTGTAAATTTTCTCATTACACATCATAACTAAACAAAAAGCTTTAAGCAAAAAGTGATTCCCCAAAATATATGACTATGTAAACACTATGAACAAACATTGAGAATATACATATTTAAAGTTTATAACGTGACCATGAGCTTTTTGCTTGTCAAACTGAATCTAAACCAAGTTGAACCAGGAATAATGATACTCAAGGGAATAACATAGAGCTAACCTATTTTTATTTAATAACATGTAGAAAGCAGTGTCACAGAGTTATATTGATGGAATGAAAACTCAGCTTAGAATATTTATTTTAAAATTTTATCCAGAATGAAACTAGAAGTGCTGTATCTTCAAAACATACCATTAATGTTCAATACCCAGTTACAATCATTTATCCTGTAGTGATAACACATATAAATTGTTTCACTGAAAGAAATAGTTCCAGTTCCATGAATTTCTTATGTATGAATCTTTTTAAAACAGAAAACACAAAACATTCCATCCAATACTTAAGATGACAAAAGCCAACTTTGCAAGGATGAACAAAATGAATTTTATTCTTAGAACTCAAGACAGTTTATTGACAATTATTATTAAACTAGAGGCCCGGTGCACAAAATTCATGCAAGGTGTTGGGGGTGAGGGGTTGTCCTTCAGCCCAGCCTGCACCCTCTCCAATCTGGGACCCCTCGAGGGATGTCCAACTGCCCGTTTAGGCCTGATCCCACCAGCAGTCGGACATCCCTCTCACAATCCAGAACTGCTGGCTCCCAACTGCTCACCTGCCTGCCTTCCTGATTGCCCCTAACCACTTCTGCCTGCCAGCCTGATCATCCCCTAACCACTCCCCTGCCAGCCTGATTGATGTCTATCTGCTCCCCTGCCAGCCTGTTTGCCCCCAAAATCCCTCCTCTGCCAGCCTGACCACCCCTAACTGCCCTCCCCTGCAGGGTTGATCACCTCCAACTGTCCCTCCTTGCAGGCCTGGTGCCTCCCAACTGCCCTTCCCTGCTGGCTGTCATGTGATGGCCATCTTGTGTCCACATGGGGGCAGCCATCTTTGACCACATGGGGGCAGCTATTGTGTGTTGGAGTGATGGTCAATCTGCATATTACTCTTTTATTAGATAGGACAGAGGCCTGGTGCACAGGTGGGGACCAGCTGGTTTGCCTTGAAGGGTATCCTGGATGAGGGTTGGGGTTCCCTTGGGCCATGGGGCAGCCTTAGCTAGGGCTTGTGATGGTTTGCAGGCCAGCCACATCCCCTGGCAACCCAAATGGAGGCCCTGGTATCTGGAATTTATTTACCTTCTACAATTGAAACTTTGTAGCCTGGAGCAGAACCATGCCTCCTGCTTGCTCTGTGCTGCAGCCATTTATGTTTGGATTTGTTTAACTTCTATAATTGAAACTTTGTAGCCTTGAGTGGAGGCTTAGGCTGGCTAAGGCAGGTGGGATGCTTGGCTTCCTCCATTGCCTGAGAGACCCAAATCTCCTTCCTAATCTCTGTGGCTGTAGCCAACCAGGTTGGGTTTATTTGCATACTCGCTCTGATTGACTGGTGGGCGTGGCTTGTAGGTGTAGCAGAGTAATAGTTAATTTGCATATTACTATTTTATTAGGTAGGACTAGACATCTGGTGCATGGAATTCATGCACTGGGGTGAGGGGAGATCCTCAGCCCAGTCTGCACACTATTGCTGCCCGGAATCCCTTAGGGGATGTCCTTCTGCTATTGCATAGCCTACTGCTTGAGCTTCAACAGCTGCTGCATATACAAGATCTGGGCCACCATAGTCTGTCCTGCAAACAACATCAAGTGGATGGAAGGCTCACCCTGAGTTCCTGAGCTTCCCTAAGTCACTGAGAAATTCAGACTGACTGCCTTCCACAGAGAATGTCAACAGGATCAGGTCTAAGCTGGCAGTAGGACATTCCTTTTGCAGTCTGAATGTCCATCCCTCAAGGGATGTCCAGCTGACTAAACCTGCAGTTGGGCATTCCCTGAGGGAAGTAGCAGTGTGCCAAGGGGCAGGCAGTCAGGGAGGAGCCTGAATTGGGGCTGGGTGCAACACTGCTCCTGCTCATCTAGGCCTGTATCTGCTGCCGTTGTTCCTGGTAGGGCTGCCAGAGTCAGGAGAGGCTCTCACCATGGCAGCTGTACTTGCCAGTGGTGAGCCCAGCTTCTGGCTGCACCGGCAAGCAGTTTCTGCATTGAGCGTTTGCCTCCTGGTGGTCTACATATGCATTGCATTTAACAACTTCCAATAGTGACAGGTCATTCCACCATAATGGTCACTTAGGTTTTTATATATAGAGATAATGAAACATATCATATAAATTGTGTACTTCCAATATTCTTACTTTGATTTTTATTCTCTGACACTTGCCTCCAGTAAAAACAAAACAAGAAAAAAAATATGTTGGAATCCTTCTTTGTTTGGTAGTGCTACGTTCATTAAAAATATAACCCTATTAATCTTTACATAGTAGAATCCAACTAATTTTTTATCCTGTGAAAACACTAAGAGTTTATTCTATAGTTCCAATATCATCAACAGAAACTTTCTCTTAATAACCATTGCACCACAGCATGCAATCACAGATATGTATAATCCACTTCCATAATAGCACATATTAAAGAGAATAATAAAAAATTTACCGCATCAACCTAAAAGGACCTCAAAATTATATCATATCACTAAGTCCACTGTGCAGTTCAGCCAAAATTATTTTCATAACAATTTTTTTTGATATTCTGATGCAGGCTCCTTAATCTGGAATACTTCCCAGTCATTACAGCTAAACCTTTGGAATATGCTTACACACAAAAAATTCCAGAGGACATTTAATTTATTTAATCTAAAGCTTCTTACTTTACACAATTCAGAGCCTTATGTGTTTATAAGAAATAAAGCTAAAAAATGTTTTTTTCCCTTTACTTCATTATGATGCTTAAAAGGTTGCATATTTATAAAAATATATATGCATTCATCAAGTTGTAACAAAAAATACTTTATTGCTTCCTTTGTTCTATAAACTGGTGTTCCATATCCTTAACTACTGTTTGGCGTACACTAAACCATCATATCATTTGGAGCTCAGGTCCTCTCCAAACTCACTCAAATCAGTTTCTTGAAGTAGTAAAGTCCCCCACTTTAAAAAAAAAATACATTTTATTGATTTTTTAGAGTGGAAGGGAGAGGGATAGAGAACTAGAAACATCAATGAGAGAGAAATATCAACCAGCTGCCTCCTGCACAGCCCCTACTGGGGATGTGCCCACAACCAATGTACATGCCCTCGAACCTGGAACCCCTCAGTCTGCAGGCTGATGTTCTATCCACTGAACCAAACCAGTTTTGGCAAGTCCCCCATTTTGTGTTGACTGTTAGCTAAGCAGTGTTCTCAGATCTTGCAAGGTGATGTTAGTATATCTTTATCCTGTGATCATCTCCATCACAGCAATGTCAAATCCCTCTCACACTGCTCTGCAACCAGCCAGAAAAGTCTCTCTGCCTTTACAGAACTCCTGTGCTTAGATCAGAGCTACCTGGATAATCATCTTTTATTAACAGCAATTGTCCTATAGAAAATAACAGTCACAGAAGCAAAATCCATTATTTTAAGTGTTCCAGGAATTATGCAGGAAAAACTTGGGGATGAGACATGGGGATGCAGAATCAGACTACTACAATCCTTTGTTCTGCAGAGACAATTCTCATGTTAATCTTACCCAGAAACCATTTTGGCTATTTAATATTTCATCTCTAATGGTTCTTTTTAAAACTCTTCATTTTCAACCACATTATGTCTCCTTTTTCTTTTAGATTAAAAAACATCTTGTATATACTTGATAATTAGCTGTTTAAATGTTCTTAATCTAATGATTCTAAAATATCTGTCCTTTTTTAATCTGTTCTTATTGACTAATTTTTTTCCTCCTGCTTATTCATTAAATTTTCATGCTTCTTTGCATGTTTAATAATTTTTATTAGATGTTTAGCACTGACATTTACATTGCTTGTTGAAGAATTTTTTTATATTCCTTTAAAGAGAGTTGGAACTTTGCTTTGACAGAAACTTAAATAACTTTATATCGCTTTGATGCTTTCACAGCTTGTTTTAAGGTTTTTGCTTGTGAATATGGATTGGCCTTCGTTGTAGGGCTAACTTAATCCTTCTGCTAAGGTCTGACTCTTTTGCATTCTCAAATAAATGTTACCACTGTACACATTATTCTACATATAATTAGGTATCCTTAATTTACAGATGGTACTTAAAAATGTAATGGAATCCTATATAATAAAAGGCTAATATGCAAACTGTCCCCTCGGGAGTTCAACCAGGAGACCGGGAGTTCAATTGCTTGCTATGACATGCGCTGACCATCACAGGGTGGCATAGAACATGGTGGGCAGCAAGCAGTGGCGGCAGGGCACTGAGGGAGCAAGGCAATGGGGAAGCAGGGAGGCAGGGGACTGCATGGCGGCATGAGCAGCAAGGGAAGGAAGAGGCGGGGAAGTGGGAGGAACCTGATGGGCCTTGATCACCGGCCATATCTAGGAACCCTACCCATGCATGAATTTCGTGTACCAGGCCTCTACTATAAATATAAAAGCTATATTTTGCTCTCATTAGCCAGGAATGTATCTCTATGAAACATATATCTCTATGAAACCAGAGGTGATGTACTTGTTTATAACAATAGAGTTATTGATAATTATTACATAATATGTTGAAGCAAGAATACTCAAATAGTTTAGAAGATGAGGTCAATATTACCTTTGTAAAATGAGTGGGCAAAACTCTGTTCAGGAATTAACTTGGCAAGGAATCCATGGTTCAAAGTTGGATGAGAGATAGATGGTATGACCACAACTGTGAAGAAAATCATGGAACCAAATTTGAACCAGTATGTAACAAGTGCAAGACGATCCACTGACAAAACATGACAAGTTTATGTTATTGCAACATACAAGCACTGACAGCAAAAAAGACTGCACTCCTGGGGGAAGGAAAGTGGTTATATATTAAGAGAAAGGAAATAATATACTTAAGTAATTTTAGCAACAGACACAGACACATAAAAACATACACAAAAATCAGAACTGGTTTGAGTGAACTGGTAATTCATTAATATTTGTTTATTTCATATACATATGACTCATAAGAATACATTTAAAAAAGTTAAGTTAATAAAATATTAGTATTTTAAATGGTCAAAAGACATTAACTGCAGCGGTAAGATAATGTTTAATTTGAAGAACAAAGTTAAAAGAGTATATTACAATGAATAATATGTTTATGAGTTTAAATATAGCATAAAACAGCAAAATATTAAAACTTATATATAATCTATTATTTACACAACAGCAAAAAAAGGTAAATGAGATATAAAATGCTATAAAAAACAAGATGCAGAGATTTGACCACTAATTTCTATGCACTTGTTAAAATATCCATTTTATTTATATGTCATATACATTTATTTAGGAAATAAAATTTAAACTACCAATACAGTGGTACATGAAATAACCACTGGGTTACCAAGGTTACACTGCAAAAAACAAACAAGAAACAAACACAGAGAAATAACCTTGATATAAACATGGCCTATATTGTAATTGTTAGAAGGAACCCCATGATATTAAAAAATTTGTTGCCAGAAAATATTAATATTTTCAAGCAGAGTAGACAAAGTTAATAATGCAAGAATTCCTACAATAATGGGTAGGCAAGAAAGACATGAGCCAAGATGATTCATTGTTATCTATAAGTCTTTGATTTTAATTGAAGTATAAACTTTAGAATGTATGTTTGCTTATTATGATCTCTGATAGAATACTGATATAGAATACAGAATATTTTGAATATAGATGATATAGAACATAGAGCATATCTATTTAGATACTGAAATAATTTTACAGCAAAAGAAAAGGAAGGCAGGAAGGAAGGAAGGAAAGAAGGAAGAGAGTAGGGAGGGAGGGAAGGAGACTATCATTGAACTTGGCTATAAAGATTTATATTTTGGCTTAGTCTTGGTTTTGTACTACTCTATAAGAACCTCCTACTTTCATGTTTATAAAGGTTAAAAATAATACATTTAAAATATGAGTTGCTTGCAAATAAAATAGTAGTATAAATGATTTGTATTAATAAATATAAAACATTAAAACCAAAACAGCACAGGTAAATGAGAATATAGCAAATATAAAAATACCATTCACACATTTTTTAGGGATCAGGTGAATATTAAGTTGGTCTTTATATTCCACTAACTTGTAAATGTATGAGATAATTATGAATAGAATTAGTTTAAGTATGGATGTATAAATGAGATTAAAAGAAGGCAAATTATAATAATTTAAATAATATAAAAATATTAAATACCTGTACTCGTTGGTGAATTTATTTCCTGTCTGATGTTTCTACCTGGTTGACTTCCAGTTCTTGCAGTCTCTCGCTGGGGTTCCAATATGTCACGGTATTTGGAAACCATCAGAACCGAAATGAAGTAAACAACAGCTAAAGCTAAGAACTGTGCCTGCTTGCTATCATCCTGTGTAAAATACAAAGGCAATTTTGACATTCAAAAATTCTAAAGTGAAAGTTCTTGGAATACAAGAAATTATTCCTATTATGTTGTCTTTATGGAACAAAATATGACATTTAACTTTTATTTATATCTCTCTCCCTCTCCCTTCCTCTCTGAAACCAATAAAAATACATTAAAAACAAAACGATGAATGATAAATTTTGCTGAATATGCCATAAAGCTTTATTCTTTGTGCTTTTCATCATTATTATCTATATCTTCTATGATAGAGTATGTATAAAAATGCGGCTATATACAACATGTATATTAAAATATGCAGTATGTATATTAAAAATATGCACAAGATGAATAGAATAATTATACACCTCAATGATAAAAACAGAGTTTTAAATGTTATAACTAAAAATTAACAGAATATATTTGGAATACATAAACATTTCAGACATGTTACTATCTGAGCAAGTGACTATTAACATATAATGGGGGAGGCATTAAAACAAATTTTATACGATCTCAATATGAGATAAAAGGTGACATGGTAGCTTAAGAGAAAGCGATTGCATTCTTTACCTGCTTAAACAGATTAAAAAGAAGTAAAAATCTCACTATCTGGAAAAATAATCACTACAACACTGCCAGGATTGAGGCTCCTAATTTCAAAATCTCAATAACAAAATAGAGTTCTTCCAGAGGAAACGAGCCTAATAATAAAAGATCTGATAGAGATCAGCCTATTTAGAATAAAGAGGTAACCCTATCAAATAAAAGGGTAATATGCAAATTAACCATCACTCCATCACAAAGATAGCTGTGCCCATAGCCTCAAGATGGAGGCGCCCAGTCCCATCAGCCTCACTGGAGTTCTCCAGTCCAGGAGGGGCTGCTGCTGGAAGCAAACAGTGTGAGTAGCCTGATGGAATGTTTGTAAAGGAAAGCCTCTGGGCAGTGGGCATGGAGGGGCCTGGCAGGATGCTTGCTTCATTGCCATGGCAATGTTCTGGCTGCAGAGGGCCTCTGGGAGACAGGGGGCCGGCCCACAGCCTCTGCGGCTGAGCACAGGTCCAGAGAGATGTCAGGTCTTCCTTCCTCTGAAGCAAGCAGGTCCCTCCCAGCTCTGGCAGAAGCCCCGCATAGCTCCCATGGAAGCAGCATGGCTCTCTCCCAGTGGCACACTGAAGTTCTTGCTGGCTCCCTGGGAAGTGGCAAGCGGCCTACTGTGCACAATATTGCGAGATAGTCTACTATTAGTTTTATTAAAAGGAACTTGCTGTCCAGCAGAGATGACTTTATAATAAGTTGTCTTTTGCAAAAGCTCTATCCAAAAAGCTTAGATAACCATCTTATAGGGAAAACTGTTAAGAAGGAAAATGAAGAAGAAAGAAGAAAAAGGAGGTGGAGGAAGAGGTGGAAGAGGGAAGGAAGGAAAAAGGAGGGAAAAGGAAGGAGGGAGCAAGAGAAAGAAAGGAGGAGGAAGGTGGAGGAAGGAGGAGGAAGAAGAAGAAAGAAAAATAAAGGAGGAGAAGGAGAAGGAGAAGGAGGAGGAGAAGGAAGAGAAGGAGAAGAAGAGGAAGAAGAAGGAGGAAGAGAAATGGAAGAAGGAAGAGGAGGAGGAGAAGAAGGCAAATTTATATGACTTATAAGACCACTACCAAATTAGACTAGGTATAAATAATCAGATATAAATGGTAGCCTTTTTCTAAGTTACATAAAAGTAATACTTCAAACCAAAACTGCATTTACTGTGTCCCATTGATAATTGGTAAAAATTAGTATCATAAAAATAAGGAAAACAAACAAGCATTCAAGTTTAGTAACTCTATTAATGGGTTCATTGGATTATTTCATTTAAGTAAAATATACACAAAAATCAAAATTTATGTGCATTTGTCAGAAAAGAAAGTAAACAAGAAATAATGATTTAATACAATGAAACAAAATTAGCATAGCTAATGGTGAAAATGACCAAAACAGATTAAACTTGTTCTGGCATATAAATTTAGTATTTCATATTTAGTGGTTGAGAGCTTTCTTATGATGTGTTTAAATTGCATACTACTTGCATTACAATGCTAATGGAATAGATATACAGAAAAAGGTAAAAACCCAAAAGCTTAAATGGTTATTATAAGGACATAAGTACAATCAAACTAACAAACAATATTGACCTAGAATAAATGTGAACGCAGCTCAAGCTGTGATAAACCATAAAAGTCCATGTCACTTTTTATTTCTACCATTGAACCTCAGTTCCAGGCAATTAACAGGCACTTAACAAATATATGTGAAATGAATTGATGTCAACCACCAAGATATAGAACTGCAAATAACATATAGTTGTCCTATCCAAGCTAAAATCTCCCTTTAAATATGATATGAAAATAATTGCCATTTCTTTTCAAAGTCAGATCTTCAAAGTAATTGTGCTGCTTATTCCCTATTCTGGCTTTGAATAAGAATAACATTATACAAAGAGGCAAAACATCTGGAGAACAACTAAAATTTATACAAGTTAATTGACTTTCTTATATATTATACTAGAGGCCCAATGCATTAAATTTATGCATGGAGGGGGGGGTCCCCCCTCATGCAGCATGTACCCTTCTTTAATCCAGGACTCCTTGGTGGATGTCCAACTACCAGCAGTCAGCCATAACTCTCACAATCCGGGACCACTGGCTCCTAACTGCTCACCTGCCTGCCAGTCCGATTGCCCCTAACAGCCCCACTGCCTGATGGCCTGGTCACCCTCAACTGACCACTCATTGGCCTAGTCCTCCACAACTGCCCCCCCAACAGTCTCCCACGCTGGCCTTGTCGCCCCTTACTGCCTCCCTGCAAGACTGGTCACTTCCCCCCCCTCCGGCCTGGTCACCCCTTACGACCCCCATCCCAGCCAGGTAACTCACAAGTGCCCCGCCCCTTGCTGGCCTGGTCGCCCCATGCATACAGCCTGCTACTCAGTAATTTGGTTGCCCCTCACTGACCCCCCTGCTGGCCTGGTTGCCCCATGCAGCCTGTTGCTCTGCCGTTTGGCCTCCCCTCACTGAGCCCCTTGCCAGCCTGATTTCCCCATGCAGCCTGCTGCTTAGTTGTTTGGTCACCCCTCACTAACGCCCCTGCTGTCCTAGCCACCACACACAGCCTGTTTGGTCATGTGTTAGGTTGCAATGGTACTTTAGAGTCACCCTTCCTTTCGTGCACTGGGAAAGGTGTCTCTCGGCCCAGCCTGCACCCTCTCCAATCTGAGAACACTCAGGGGATGTTTGACTGCCAGCAGTTGTACATCTCTCACAATCCAGGACTGCTGGTTCCTAACCGCTTACCTGGTTGCCAGCATGATCACCCCCTAACCACTCCCCTGCCTCCCTGATCAATGTCTAACTGCACCCCTGCTGGCTCAATTGCCCCCAACTTCCCTACCCTGCAAGCCCAATAACCCCCAACTGCCCACACCTGCCAGCCCAGTTTTCCCCACTGCCCTACCTTGTCGCCTGATCCCTATCCTGCAAGCCCAGTTGCCTCCAATTGCCCTATCCTGCAAGCCCAGTTGCCTCCAATTGTCCTCCCCTGCTGGCCCGGTAGCCCCTAACTGCCCACTCCTATAGGTCTGGTTGCCCCCAACTGTCTTCCTCTGCAAGCCTATCCCCCCCTCCTCCCCCACAAAGTCCTGTCCCCTAATGGCACGATCACCCACAACTACCCTTCCCTGCCAGCCATCTTGTGGTGGCCATCTTTGACCATATGGGGGCACCCATCTTGTGAGAGGGTGTGAGAATCAATTTGTATATTATGTCTTTATTTTATAGGATAACTAAAATTCTTTAAAAATTATAATATTTCAACCAGAATATTCGAAAACTTTAAATTTAATTTTTAAGGATTAAAATTACTTTAGTTTATATAATTTTGGACATAGGTGACCAAGGACAAATTTCTTTTCAAATTATGCATATACTAGAGAACATTAAAAATGAAGTTTTTGTTTTTTTAAAGCCACTTATTTCTTTTTTTGCCATGTATTCAATTTTGCCACACAAATCTGTCACTTTTATTTTAACAGTTCATGTGAGTTTATCTTAGCAATCTCTTTGAGACAAAACAGTCAAGACCCAATTACAACAGGAAAGCTCAAATATCACTCAAGGGACAACCCTAGAACATTAAGCTCAAGAGATCAGGCAGACTGCTCCGCTAGGTCCCACAGGACACCTACTACACAAAGCCACTGCAGTAAGACTGGGAGTAATAGCAATTCTACACATAGAAACAATAACAAAGAAACACTCAAAATGGGAGACAAAGAAACAACCCCCAAATGAGGAACCTCCACAGATAAATCTAAATGAAATGAAGGCAAGGAATTTATCAAACACAGAGTTCAATGGGAACTACATAAAACTTAGTGGAAACTATATTAGCATGAAAAATTACTAAGTGTCACTGCTTGGCTATACAACATATTTATAAAACATCTATAATTCTTAAAAGTATGTCATTATCTACCAAACTATAATAATTTACCATAACTACTTAATATAGAATTGACTATTAAAACGCAATGTCAAACTTATTAGATCTGACTGTGCCTCTTGGAGATAAAGATATGCTCTACATGTTAATCATTCTTCATTTTAAAAAGCATTCTTTCCACAAAATATTTTTTTTCAAGGTGAGTAATTTCCAATTCTAAATGGTCAAGTTGTTAATAAGTGATGTTTTTCCAAGTCTAGATTACAAATCAGATTGTGATAAGATTTTCATATTTTTATACTATCATGTTTTATATCCTATTTTTAAATCCCTTCATTTATTAATTATAAAGAAATATGGGTTTATCATTAAACATTTTAATATATAAAAACATAAAAGGATTAAGCACAAAATGAACACTATCTAGAGATAAGCATTGGTCATATTTCAGTATGTTTTCTCTAGTCTTTTTTTTTAAAATAAAGATATGCATGCACATATACTCAGCATACAAATGTAATATTTGTGCAATTTAAGTACTTTTGTTTACTGCTAATTTCCCTTGAAACATGAGTATTTTTCCATGTCATTAAATTTCATTCAAAAATATGATTTTAATGGCTGCACAGTTTCTCCCTTGAATAAATATACTATGATTTATTGGGCTGAAACTCTATTAAAGATTTAAAATATTTCCTGTAGTTACCATATTTCCTGTAGGAATATTTAATGAGCACATGAGGTTAAATAACTTCTAAGCAAGACCTATGGACCATAGGGCATCAATATTTATAAGAGTTTTAACACATATTGATGAAGAGCTATTCAAAATTTTTATCCAATTTCTATTCCTACCAGTGAGACAGATATGTATGTATATACACATGCATATCTATATACTAGAAGCTGGGGCAAGAAATTCGAGTGTTGATATGGTCCCTAGATGTGGTCCGTAATCAGCGCCATTTTCCCCAGTTGCCTGTAGCCTTCCCCACCCCCCACCACCACCCACCCTTGGTTCCTCGTTTGCCATCGGACAATCAGAGCCTGCTGGCCAGGGAAAGGGACCTAGAGGTGGTCAGTGCACCTCATAGTGACTAGTCTAATGGTTGTTCTGGCCATTCCACCATTAGAGTCAATTTGCATATTACCCTTTTATTATATAAGATGATGGCATATTTTAATGTACCCTTCCAATGCTGGAATTAAAAGTTTTACATATTAGTTTATTTAATAGCAAGAATATCTCACTTCTGTTTTATCAATAAATTGCATTCTTTTGACTACTGGTGATAATAAAATGTTATCATATGTTTGTTACCTTAATTCTAATATTTATGTCTACTGCCTATTATTGTGTTGATATATTTATAATTTTCCCAGTGATTTATAAAAACTGATACATATTAGATTATTTTTCTACTGTATATTACTACCATATAATCCTATTTACTAAAGAAGTAATATGCAAGTTGACCATCACTTCAACACACAAGATGGCTGCCCCCATATAGTCAAAGATGGTCGTCCCCATAAGAAGGCCACCACAAGATGGCCTGCAGGAGAGGGTAGTTATGGGTGGCCAGGCTGGCAAGGGAGGGCAGCTAGGGGTGACCGGGACATTAGGGAAGGGAAGTTAGGGGTGACCAGGCCAATAGGGGAAGGCAGTTGGGGGCAACCAGGCCTGCAGGGGAGAGCGGTTATGGGACAATCGGGCTGGCAGGGGAGCAGTTAGGTATCAAGCAGGCTGGCAGGGGAGTGGTTAGGTTGTGATCAGGCTGGTAGACAGGCAAGCTGTTGGGAGCCAGCAGTCCCAGATTGGAGAGGGTGCAGGCTGGGATGAAGGTCATCCCCCAGTGCATGAATTTTCAGCAATGGGCCTCCAGTATCATACTATATGAAATACATACATTTCAGCCATTCTAAAGTACAGCACCCAATTTCTTAAGTGTAAATTTAAAACATAAACTTTCTTCTGTTTCACAAATCATTAATTAAAATAATGCTAACTACCTGAAACTAATACAAAATGATATTCATTCTAAACTGTAATTGAAAAAATTAATAACAATAAAAAGAAAAGAAAACTAGAATCCAAAATGGCTGGTAAATAGTAACTATAATAAGCAGTGCTGTCATATTGAATCTGCTCTGAAATATCCCCATCTTATTTTTGCTTATCTTGAGTAATTGATGATATAATTGAAGTATTCCATGAAACTCTCTCCTTAAGCTATCATTTTCTTAAGTTTTACTAAGCTATCCTTCTAACTCAATTTCCTATAGATAAAATATATTTTAAAATGCAGATTCTTCTTTCAAAAGTAATGCCAGTAATACCATTATGAATTAATCCCATTCATGCATAATACAAGGAATATTGATGGAAAACAAACTATTTAGTACCTACACATGGAGTAGGGAATACTAAAAGACAGTAAGTGATTCAAAGTAAGTTGAATTATAATATTAATTAATATATATACAACTTATATCAAAATTTCACATAATTTAAAAAAATGTATCAATAAGCTTTTAGAGAAAGCTAAAGCTCAACTGTTTTATAAACAGAAGTATGTTATAAATCCTACAATTCCTAACATTGGGACTCTTGGTTTTAATATCTAGATTTCTTTTAAAATTTAAATTATTTTACACAAATGATAATGAGAGGTTTTCCCTGGGACATCAAACAGGCATAACTTACCACATCCCGAAACACAACGGCACGCAGGCGATTAATATCAACATCCTGAAGAAGTCTATCAGGGTCCTTAATAGGAGAGAGGTTACCTGGAACATTTTCTAATGAATTCTAAAAAAAAAAAAAGATACCCAATTGTAAAAACATAATAACACAATACATAAACTTACAAAGTAGTATAATTTCTCTAATTTAGGCATCAAATTGTCCATGTTCTTTAACTCCTCTTCACTGGACAACATTTAATGACAATAATACTGTATTATAAGACTAGTTTTCTGTTATTCTGTATCATGTAGATTTCCTTTCTACTATTCTTGTTTTTTATTACCAGAGCAACCAAGATAGATTTAGAAAAATGGGTAAGATTGTGGAAGAAAAAAAAAAACTGATTTTGAACTTCAGAAAATCTGAGCTCTAAATCTCTGCTGTGTGACCTTGGGCTTATTACTAAAATTTATTTGGCCTCAATCCTTACCTCTTGTTAATAAATCTCTTTAAGTCACTGGGTTTCATTTAACCATCATACTTTTTATATGAACTTATTATGTTACATTATTATATGAGACTTTATGTGTGTGACCATTTCATGAACTACGCAAGTTAGAGAAAGGTAAACTGAAAAAATGTAAACATACCCTTAATATTAAAGTTGAAAGATTTAAAGACCATTACCATAAAAATGCTTTTTATACTTGCAGATAAAAAAATTGACAAATTATTTGTAATGTGTCACATAGCAAACTAATAACAGAGTCAAGTTCCCTGAAACTCAATCTAGTACTTTTTCACTTAGACACACAACATATTAAGAATTGTATGGACAGAATATGTTAAGAATTGCATGAATTAGTTGATTAGAAGGTCATTCTTATATGTCAAGGTTTCAAATTCAATTTCCCAGGATTGTAGGGTTCAATCCCAGGTCAGAGCTTATATAAGAATAAAGCAATGAATGCATGCATGAATGGAACAACAAATATATATTTTTCTTTCTCTTCTCTTCTCTTCTCTTCTCTTCTCTTCTCTTCTCTTCTCTTCTCTTCTCTTCTCTTCTCTTCTCTTCTCTTCTCTTCTCTTCTCTTCTCCCTTCCTCCCCTGCTTCTGTCTCTCTCTTTCTCTCCTCCCCACTTTCTCTTTCTCCTCTCTCCCTTCCTTCCTCCCTAATCAGTAAATAATTTTTAATTGCATGAATTAAACTAGGTAATATATGTGATGTACAAAATATAATTCCTATACATAAGAAAACTTGCTGTTATTATGATTAAAAATATCTTTCTATTTCTCTATAGATCACAATTATGATATTTTGTTCCAAAAATTAAGATGATTTCCACTGTAGCATAGGATAGTAAAAAGAGCATGGTATTTGAAGGTTGTTATTTGGTTTACATTACAATTCCAAAACTTACCAGCAATATAACCTTAGGTGAGATATTTAACCTCTATAAACCTCAGTGATTTAATCTAAATAATAGGCTAACAATATTTATCACAAGACAAAAAATAATGCATTGACAGCATAAAAGTACATAATTTATGGCAAAAATGAAGAAATTACATTTTAACATATAAATCATTTTATAATGTCTCTATATCCATAAAGTAATTTAATCCTTATAAAGGCATATGTAATACTTTAATCAATAAAGAAAAAAAAAAGCTTGTATCATCACTCCTTATTAAAAAGTATAAAAAATGAAACCACTACAAATCCAGTTTGGGTGCCACACCCAAATTAATTAGGTGTTTTCTTATTAAAGCACATAAAAATGAATAAAAGGTGGGAACCAGAGACATGGAAGTATGGAACAGAGTGTGGAATCTCAGAAGGAAAGTGGGGGAGTGTGGGTGGGTGGGAGGTAATCAACCAAAGACCTTGTATACATATATGCATAAACCATTGACACAAACAATATGGTGCTGAATACCTGGAGTGGAGAGCTGGAGGGGATCAATGCAGGGGGGAAGGAGATATCCTATCTAATAAAATAGTAATGTGCAAATTAACCATAATTCTGCTACACCCACAAACCATGCCCACCAGCCAATCAGAGCAAATATGCAAATTAACCCCAACCGTGATAGCTGCCACCACAGAGAGCAGGAGGGAGGATTAGGTTTCCCAGGCGATAGAGGAAGCCAAGTTTCCCACACACCCTGGCGGGCCCAGGCCTCCACTCAAGGGTAGAAAGTTTCAATTGTAGGGTCCTCCACTTGGGTCGCCCGCCTGGCCTGCAAACCACCACAGGCCCCTCGCCCATGCCACCCCACACCTTAAAGGAACCCCCACCCTGATCTGGGATACCCTTCAGCTGAACCCCACCCATGCACCAGGCCTCTATCCTATCTAATAAAAGAGCATTATGCAGATTGACCATCACTCCAACACACAAGATCAAAATGGCTGCCCCCATGTGGTCAAAGATTCTGTCCTCAGGTGGACACAAGATGGCCAGCAGGGGAGGGAAGTTGGGAGGCACCTAGCCTGCAAGGGAGGGCAGTTGGGAGTAATCAAGCCTGCAGGAGAGGGCAGTTAGGGGTGACTAGGCCAGCAGAGGAGGGAAGTTGGGGGCAAACAGGCTGGCAAGGGAGCAGTTAGACATCAATCAGGCTGGCAGGGCAGTGGTTAGGGTATGATCAGGCTGACAGGCACAAGTGATTAGGGGCAATCAGGAAGGCAGGCAGGCGAGCAGTTGGAGCCAGCAGTTCTGGATTGTGAGAGGGATGTCCAACTGATCGGGCCTAAATGGGCAAACATCCCTCGAGGGATACTACCCTGTTTCCCCAAAAACAAGACAGTGTCTTATATTAATTTTTTCTCCCAAAGTTGCACTAGGTCTTATTTTCAGGGGATGTCTTATCTTTCCAGGCGCTAGGTCTTATTTTCGGAGGATATCTTATTTTTGGGGAAACATGGTAGATTGGAGAGGATGCAGGCTAAGCTAAGGGACACCCCACCCCATGCACAAATTCCGTGCACCAGGCCTCTAGTATGCAATCTTTTCAATAATAAAAATTTGCCATAAAGATTTACTTTAAAAAAAAAATATATACATATATATATATATATATATATATATATATATATATATACACACACATATATACCAGTGGTCCAATGCATGAATAAAGATTCATGCAAGAATGGGCCTCCATTCTCCTGGCTACCTGCACCAACTTCACTCTGGGCCAGAGCTGCCTTTCTGCTTTCCCACGCTGCCCAGAGGCCTGGAGTGGCTGGGGTGGTAGGGAAAGCCTGCATCTTCGCCATGGTGGTGATGCAAGGGTCCAGCCCTGTGCTCCATGCCTGCATATGCAAATTAACCCACCATCTTTGTTGGGTTAATTTGCATACTCACTCCTGATTGGCTGATAAGCATCACAAAGGTACAGTCAATTAGCGTTTTACTATTTTATTAGGTAGATATCTAACAGAAAGTCAAAAAGGAACACCCACCAACCAGTCCATTGATTCTCTCCTAAAATGTGTTATCTTACTAAGTTAACTTTTCCTCTAATATTTCTATAGTGATCACTTATTATCCATTTTTCTTGCTAGACAAATGGAATACCTCAACTAAAATACTACAAATTTCTTTCTTTTTGGACTTTTCTGTTCATATGCTACAATCAGAGTAATACTTGTCTTGACTATCATGAAAAGTTCACTTTGTCTCTTGAATTGAGTACAGACACCTTTAAAATCAAAGCTCTAAAAAATAGTAGTTTATTCATTTCATGAGTTCATACAATCAGTGGTTAACTACTGGAAAAAGGAAGGGAATTAGTATTAATTGAATGTTCACTGCATGTCAGGAATTTAGTATTTTAATACATTATTGTTGTTGTTTTTTTTAATTTAAGTCACACAAACACCTTTTAGGTTAAGATTTGATCCATTTTAAAGACTGGAAAACTGATGCATTGGAGATTAAGGAATACATCTTGGCTCACAAAACCACTAAGTGGTAGAACCAGGATACAAACTCAGAACTGTCTGATTCTAGAGTTTGTGCTCTTTTGATAAGTGCTCACAGTGCTATACAAGCTCTGGAATTATGAAGATGTACAAGTTATGGGACACTCTCAAATAACTTAGAGTTTACTATACCCACAAAAATAACATGAGGCATTACTGCTCATGTTTTTATATTTAATTTTCTAAGCAATGGAGTGTCCTGTGGAGACTTGTGAGCAGTAAAGCAGTCTAATTATTCTACAAATATCTTTCTAAATGTAGTGAAAAGGAAATATGCTGCAATACAGATATACTAAATATGTGGTTGTTCTGTTTAAAAACTACAGAAGTTTGAAGCCATAGAACTTTTTAAATTAATTAAACTTCTATTCCATGTCTCCACTTATTGAGGGGAAAAACCATGGGCCAATATCAAACATCTAATTACAAGTGGAGTATATCAAACAAATATCCACCCTAGTCCAGGGTGACAGTGACAGTTATCTCAAAACATTTTCCTCAGAGTAGCCCTTAATTATAGCCAAGAGTTTAATATATTTTAGTTGGGTAAAAAATACAAATACTAACTTTAAGAAAAGAGAACCCATGTAAAAGTCAATAAATAAAGAATAAAAAGATTTTTCTGAGGAAATGAATGAAGTGTATAATGTGACTAAAATGGTAAAAGCAAGGGTAAAGGGAAAAGTTGCAGAGTCACATACACATATGATAAAGAGAGCTAATTTAGGATAATGATTAATAGCAGGTTCAAAAATACTCTCCACTATTCATTCATTTCCTAGACATTCAATGTATTTTTACTGAACATTATGGGAGTCTATCACCAAAAGAACATTATTCACTCATGTAATATATATTATTCATTCATTAGTCAATATCTATTAAACCCCGTATAAAATATATGTATTAAAATAGTTATAACTAAGAACTTTTCAGATCTATGTATGCTATACTCCTTAAAAGAGCCCTAAGGAAGTAGATATTATTAGTATCTTCATGTAAAAAACAAAAATTCAAGTCTCAGAGTGGTTAAATAACTTGGTGCCATATTATGAAGAGAGAAGCCAGCATTAGAGCCTGGTGATGTCTGATCATTAAACCATTTGTAGTTTTGTTCTCATAAAGTTAAAATAAAATTAAGGTAATTTACATTAACATAGAAAATATTGAATTACCTTTGAAGCTGCTATGGCAGTCATACTTTGGGTTGCTTCTTGAGGTTTACTGCTTCCATGGGAAGATTTGTTCCCTCTGTCCCTTTGTCTCTGCCGACATTCTAAACAGTTTCTCACAGCAACACAACAAACTAAAAAACCAGAAGGTTATTATTAATATAAATTGACTTTGACATGTTGATTAAAGTTGCTAGGTTCTATTTTTCTTTCTTTCCCCTTCCTCCATCTTTTTATTATACTTAAATCAACTAGATCAGTAAATATGTTTGATAATTATAAAATACTAAAGGCCCAGTGCATGAAATTTGTGCACCTGTGGTTGTGGTGGGGGTTCCCTCAGTCCAGTCTGTGCCTTCTTGCAGTCCAGAAGCAATCGGGGGACGTCCAACTGACAGTGTAGGCCCGCTTACCCTGGACATCAGTTGCACATCCTTAGCGCTGCCACAGAGGCAGGAGAGGCTCCCGCCACCACTGCTGCACTCACCAAGTATGAGCCTGGCTTCTGGCTGAGCAGTGCTCCTCCTGTGGGAGCACACTGACCGCCAGGGGGCAGCTCCTACTTCAAGTGTCAGCCCCTTGGTGGTCAATGAACATCATAGCAACTGATTGACTGGTTGACTATCTGTCCCCTGGTGGTCAGTGCACGTCATAGCAAGTGGTTGAGCAGCGTTAGAATATTATGCTTTGATTGGTTAAACAAATGACTGGACAACCAGACTCTTAGCATATTAGGCTTTTATTATATAAGATTAGAATGAAAAGAAAAGTCATAAGGAGGGTTACATGAAATACTTTGGTTATACATAATACTTTGCAGAAGAAAGCAAAGCCGGGAAATCTCTAGGATTGGATAAGAAGCAAAACAGAGAGACACATACATCTTTAACATTGGTGGGTGCAGGATAGGTAATCTTTAACATTTATAGTATCTAGAGGCCTGGTGCATGAAATTCGTGAAAGGGGCTCAGCCTCTGCAGTCCCGACTGCCTCGGCCCTCTCAGCACTGGCTTCTGGAAGGTTGTCCAGAAGGTCTTCCAGATCATTGTTCTGCTGTTCGGTCTAATTAGCACATTAGCTCTTTATTATATAGGATAGTGATGAAAAGTACATATGAAACATAAGTGTAGTTACAAAATTTAAACAAAATACTCATGTACTAGCTAAAAACAAAACAAAACAGATTACCAGGGCTTTTGAAGTTCCCAATATTTTCTTCCATAGTTTGTCTTTCCCTTCCATCACTCAAAACCCTAAATTTTATAAATTAATAAAATGTTTTTATAAATTAGTATTCATATTTGTTAAGTTCTTTTGGATAAGACGTCTTCCCATACTTTGACTACCTTAGCAACTATCACAAATCCCAACATCCATCTTTCCTCAAGGTAAGAAAGTCTATGACCTTTGTCAATAAGCATTCAATAAGAAGAAACTTTTCCTTTACTTATTTTAAGAAATAGTAAAGTATAGCAATAAACTACCAATTTTGGAATCAGATCACAGGAGCTTAAATCCTGGCTCTTCCACTTCTAATCTATGTGATCTTGGGCCAGCTGCTGAAACTATCAGTGCCTTAGTTTCCTCATATAAAAAATGAATATAAACATACCTCTTTAGGGAATTCTTGTGAGGATTAATTGAATTGATATATGAAAAGTGCTTGGAACAGTAAACAGACATAGATATATAATTTTTTTTGCTTTATTATTATTCACTTATAAAACATTCCAAGGAAATAAATCTGCTAGGAATTATTGGGATAAAAATTAAATCATCAGTAAAGCTTTGGAATATATTAGAAAAAAAAATAACCAAATAAGTGCTGGTTTGAAGATACTGAAGCATCTTATCTGATAAAAGAGTAATATGCAGATTGACCATCATACCAATACACAGGATGGCTGTCCCCATGTGGTCAAAGATCCTGCCCCCATGTGGACATGAGATGGCCACCAAAAATGGCCAGCAGGTGAGGGCAGTTGGGAGGGACCAGGCCTGTAAGGGAGGGCAATTGGAGGCAATCAAGCCTGCAGGGGAGGGCAGTTAGGTGTGACCAAGCCAGCAGAGGTGAGAAGTTGGGGGCAACCAGGCATGCAGGGAAGGGCAGTGGGGAGAGCAGTTGGGGGGGGAACAAGGCCTGCAGGGGAGGGCAGAGGCTCTGGTACTGACAGCTGGTGAGAGAGGCAGCTGCGGGCCCTGATCATCCCCCAGGAACTGGGGGAGGTAAATAAACCCTGAGGGGCAATTTGTGCTGGCACCTGCCACTCACAACTGCTGAGTATTGGGGCCGATGTCATGTGCTGGCAGCAGGTGTGAGCAGGACTAGCACACTGGCATCAGGTGCAAGCACTTGGCGGGACCACAGCATATGGGAGCAAAGAATTTTCAGTAACCATCAGAGGCTGTCCCGAAGACAGCAACCGGTGCCCCGCCTTGGTCTGGTACCCCCATTCATCTGCTCCACCATCCCACTGTGGCCGATGACCGCCATGTTCTTCACTCTGTCACCTGCTGCCAACACCTACCATGTTTCATGCATGCCCCCTGGTGGTCAGTGCATGTCACAGCAATCAGTTGTTTGGCTGTTCAGCAGTCCCTTCTATTTGGATAGTAAGGTTTTATGTAGATAGATATATAAAAGCCCAGCTACTGAATGGCAGAATGGCCAAAATGATTGGAATGACCAGTCACTATGACATGCACCGTGGCCAATAGGCCCGATCTGTCCCCCCAAACTCCTGAAGCCCCTCCCCCCCCATTGGACCCTTCCACCCTTCTCTCCTGTTTCAAGGTGCACAAGAGCTGCCCTGAGGCCTGGAGCCCCAGGGGGGAGGGGCTCAGTTCCTGGCTGTGCTTCTCTACACATCAAGAGCACTAAATTACAAATGTGGCTGTCACGAGGGAGGCCTGCCTGGGAAGTGGGAGGAACGCACATCAAAGAGGGCAAGAACTGAGGTGAAGCCTGCCTGGAAGAACCCACACTAGGGGCAGCCATGCTCCCCAACCCCAACTGTAGCTCAGCGTTACAGGCTGCCTGACAGACACTATTGAGAGGCAGGTGAGGGGAGAGCTCTCTAGGCACGTGAGAGGGGTGCACTGCAACCCCTGCATGTCACTGCTGCTACTCATTAACCTGTGCTTACCGCCCCACTACCACACCTACGCCACAGCCACCACCTCCTCATGCTCACACTGCCATCACAGCCACCAAAGCCTCCTCCTACACTGCACCCTTGGCTGGCCTCAGGCACCCCATTCTCACCTTGCCCTGCCTCTGCCTGTTTGTAATGATTGGGATGAACAGGGCAGTCTTGCCCCACACATAAGCACATCGCACATTCCCTCCTCCCGCAGCAGCTGGTTTCCCTGGTCCTCCACTCTGCACTGAGGGATAAGGCCGACCAGGCAAACTTATGGTGCCCTCGTGTGGGGTATGCCTGGAGGCATAATTCTTGGAAACCCATAGCCCAGTCTACAGGAGGGCCCTTTCTTGAGGAAGTACATTACAACTCGCAGAAAGCGCCACACCTCCTGCGGCCCTGAAGCTCATGAGGAAACTGAGAGAATGCAAAAGAATGCGCCATGCTGGTGCTCTGGGGGCGCCTGTGCAGTTTCTGGTCGATATACACATGTGGGGCCTCCCCCCAGCCAGCCCTGCCTCTAATTGCCCCACACACCAATTGGGGACAGGCTTGGCCGGCCAACCTCCCTCAGCTGTCCCCATCCCTAATCCCCCCATCAAGGGCAGGGCAGGCCAACCTCCTGTGCCTCCTACCCCCTGCTGGACTAGCACAATGGTTCCCATCAATGTGGGCCAGTAGACTCCACCCATACACAAGTGCAGCAGAACTCTTGTTGAGAAATAAAATTGTATGTACTTATAATTTTTTTTATGTACTTAAAAAATTTTTATGTATTTACTAGAGGCCCAATGCACAAAATTCGTGTACTTGGGGGTTCCCTCAGCCCAGCCTGCACCTTCTCACAGTATAGGAGCCCTCAGGGGATGTCTGACTGACAGTTTAGAGATGTGGTAGGTTGGCCAGCTGAGGAAGGGCACAAGAGGCTCCAGGGTGTGTCCGACCCATCTAGTCAGTCCCAATCAGCTGTACCCCAGCAGAAAGCTAACCTACCAGTTGGAGCTTCTGCCCCCTGGTGGTCAGTGCACATCATAGCAAATAGTTGAGTACCCCTAGCATATCATTAGCATATTATGCTTTGACTGGTTGAACAGCTGTCTGGATGACCAGACACTTAGCATATTATGCTTTTGTTATATAGGACTAAGGGCCCTTTGCAGGAAGGTTCCTACAAGAACAGGGCTTCTGGCGGACTGCCCTCCTGCCCCGGTAATTTCCCCGCCGCCTCTTGCCCCCACCCCACGCTTTTCCTCCCAGAGCCGCTGCGCGCACGCCCCCCCCCCCCACGCTCTCCCTCCAGCTACTGCTGCTCCGAGCTTTCCCTTCTGCTGCCACACTGCCCTTTTCTGCAGCTCACTGCTGCTGCCACTTGCCCCATCTGCCCCGCCCGCCACCACTGCTGCGCATGCCTCCTGCGCTTTCCCTCCCACAGCCGCCTTGCTTTCTGCTTTCCCTCCATCTTCTTTCTAGGCTGTCTCAATCTTTACTCCTTCCTCCCTCAGTATATGCAAATTAACCACCATCTTTGTTGGTTTAATTTGTATACTTGCTCTGATTGCCTGTGGGTGTAGCAAAGGTACAGACAGCATTTTTCTCTTTTTTATTAGTGTAGATATGTCAAGTATAGCATGATACTTAACATATAAATATTTTATGAAATGACAATCACAATCATATTAATTAACATATCATTTTTAAAGCAGTTCTAATGCCTTTCTTGGGTGAAACTTCTCCCCTGAAATTATACACCTATAGCGTTTTACATAAGTTTTGTTTTTTGTTTTTTTAATTCTGGGTAAAATGAATACACATTAGGAATTTCCTCCCTATCTAATGACTTGGTTTCTTACATCTTACTCATGATGCAAGGCAAGTATATAAATAGTAGCTTTCTGGTTTTTTGTAAAGTCTAAAGAGTATAAATAAATTTCCCCTTTAAGACAGGCAAGAGAGGTAAAGATAGTTCCTACCTTGAGCTGGTCTAAATTTACTAAGAGTTGTCAATGTTAAGTTTTCGTTTCTTTCTTTTTAAAAAAGTATTTGGAAGGAGAGATCCAAGATGGTGGCGTAGGTGGGCATCTAAACTGCTGCAAGGCACAATTACAAAACTACAACTAAACGACAAAACATCTATCACCCAGAACCACGGGAAAGCTGGCTGAGAGGAAGCTCTACAACTAGACTGAGAGAGAAAAGAGCATTCAGGGCACAAGCGCTGAAAAACTGAGGTACGGGGGCACAAGTGCAATATGGGCTGGCGACAGATCCTGGCTAAAGGCGGGCGTTGCTTTCTTCAACCTAGAGAGACAAGCTCCCGATCTCCCTGAAGTTCAGTTTCTGGGGAGAAGCTAGCCTGTCTGCCATCGAGTTGGAAAGTGAGGGTTGCTGGCAGAGCTGCACACAAGAATAATTGTTTGCTGTGCGGGGGCGCGAGATGTGGGGACACAGGCGGAGAGGCAGAGACAGCTGATGGGCAGCCATCTCTGTTGGCCACGACCTAGTCTACTGATGCCCTGAGACTCTGCCTCACACAATCAGCAAACACACCCAAGCTCCAAGCAGCAGCTTTTGCATTTGAATGGCCTTCTCTAGTGCAGTTTAACCTAGCAAACTTGAAACCTAGTGCAGATAGCTCCAAAGCCTCCAAGCTTCAAGCAGGAAGGAGAGGACTGTGGTTCTCGCTGTAGCTCCTGCAGGGTGGCCTCAGACAGTAGCTGAACTGCACTCCATTGGAGATCCTGAAGCCAGTGTACCTAGTGGTCAGTGTGAGACACCAGATTTCAAATCCTCATACCCATAAGTGACACATTTGGGAGATGAACTCAGTGAGCACCAAAGCCCCACTGAAATAAGGCGCATCTCCTGCACAGCAGTTCTTCCTTTATAAACAGAGTGGGTTCTCACAGCCAATTGACCTGGAGGTCAATTCCTCCCAGTGTACCAACAGCAATCAAGGCTTAATTACACCAAGACTTTGCACTCAGCCCACAAAGGGGTGTACCAAGTGCAACCACCTCAGGTGACTGGAAAAGCTGAGCTACTGGCCCCTATAGGTCACCAACCACACAAAGCCAATCCATCGAAACAGGAAGGCAGCCAAAATAAGGAGACACAAGAGCATATCACAAATGGGAGAGATGGAGAAAAGTAAACTACTAGACAACACAGAGTTCAGAACCACATTTATAAGGTTACTCAAGAATCTTCTAAAAACCTTTGAGCAACTTGATGAGACCTCCAAGAAGCTTAGTGAGATATTCAAGGACCTTAATGAGAATGCAAAAAAAAAAAAAAAAAAAAAAAAGGAAAAGGACCAGTCAGAAATTAAGCATACACTGTCTGAAATAACAAATATATAGAAACTCAACTGCAGATCAATGTACCCCAAGAGTCAAACCAAAGATCTGGAATATGAGGAAGTAAGAAACATCTAACCAGAGAGGCAGAAAGAAAGAAGAATCCAAAAGTGTGAGGACATTATAAGGTACCTCTAGGATGGCTTTCAGTATACCAATATCCAGATTTTTGAGGTGCCAGAAGAAGAGAGCAAAGGCCTATTGGAAGAAACACTGACAGAAAACTTTCCCTACCTGGTGAAAGAAATAGACTTACAAGTTCAGGAAGTGCACAGAACCCCAAACAAGAGAAATCTATTAAGAATCACACCGAGACACATCATAATTAAAATGCCAAGGGCAAAAGACAAAGAGAGAATCTTGAAAGCAGCAAGAGAAAAACAGTTACCTACAATGGAGTACCCATATGACTGTCAGCTGATTCCTCAACAGAAACTATGCAGGACAGAGGGAGAGACAAGAAATATACAAAGTAATGAACAGCAAGAACCTACAACTAACATTACTCTACCTAGCAAAGCTATCATTCAGAATTGAAGGTCAGATAAAGAGCTTCACAGACAAAAAAAAAAAAAAAAAAAAAAAAGTTAAAGGAGTTCATCACCACCAAACCAGGATTACATGAAATGCTAAAGTGTATTCTTTAAGAAGATGAGGAAGTAAAAGTAAAGGTAAAAACTATGAACAAAAAGACATCAAATACATACCTACCAACAAGTGAATCTAAAAATCAAGTGAATAAAAAATCTGAAGAACAGAAAGGGAGTGGACTGACAATTCTCAGGGGGAAAGGGGTCTGAGGGGTGCAAGAAGTGAATGGACAAAAATCTTACACCTATGGATGAAGACAGTGGTGGGAGTAAAGGCATGAGGTGGGGTGGGGAATCAGGTGCAGGGAAGCTATGGTGGGGAAAAAAGGAAGAACCCCTGTAATGATCTGAACAATAAAGATTTATTATTAAAAAAATAAAAATAATAAAAAAATAAAAAAGTATTTAGAAGTAGCCATATGGCATCCTGTTTTTTTGTTTTGTTTTTTTTTAAATATATTTTATTGATTTTTTACAGAGAGGAAGAGAGAGGGATAGAGAGTTGGAAACATCAATGTGAGAGATTCATCGATCAGCTGCTTCCTGCACACTCCCTAATGGGGATGTGCCTGCAACCAAGGTACATGCCCTTGACTGGACTTGAACCTGGGACCCTTCAGTCCCCAGGCCAACGCTCTATCCACTGAGCCAAACCAGTTGCGGCATGGCATTCTGTTTTATCTTTCATCCTCCAAATATCTATAGATTTTTAAAATTATTTATTTTTCAATTGTAGTTGATGTACAATATTATATTAGTGCTTAGTTTCTTTGCAACACAAGATAGAAGGTGAATTGCATAGGTAAAGTAATGTTTATTAGAGTTAGCAGTTAACATTGAGAGACATAGTGAGACTGGCACTGTGTCCTGATTTTTCTGATGTGTGTGTGATCCCAGAGCAACTACCCTCTGTATTAGTCTACCAGAAAAAGAATTAATAAATTAATATACATTAAAATCAGATCAATTAAAAATGACACAGTACTATTAAATTTTAAATAAGTCAAAATGTATTTAATTCTATTTCAAATAATCCATTCTAGATGATCAATTCTATAAATCTCCAATTGAAGATATTATAATTTTCTATAATTTATTATAATAATTTCTACATTACATAATCATCAACTTGTATAATCAATACTTTTTATACCACAGAATGTCAAATAACTACTTTGTAGATAATTACATAATGGATACCTTAAGACTTACCTAACCTTAGGCATTGTCGCATTAAACCTCCAGACGACATGTTTTTTTCAGCTTCAATCTCACTAAAATTTAGAGAGCTGGCAAATACAAGTACATCAACCATAGCCATCAATCGGCTGAGGAAAGTTACTGCTGTCTCAGCTGACATGCCTTGTGTCACTTCGATGTTTTCCAATTCCGTCTTTAAAAAAGCAGATTTAAGACTTGTTAAAATTTAGAAGTATAATATGTGTACATACGTATTACAAGTGAAGAGTAGTTTAGTATATTTAGTAAATAAAATAAATTATAGATTGCAAATTATAATCTAATTTGATATATATGAGTTGGTTATTGAATTTATTTAGTTAGCTATGAATTATCCTTGAATAAAAAATAGTCTATTTTTAAAATCAATGTTAGATTTAAATGTCATTACTTATAAAAACTACATTCCAAACTGAAGATCATTTTGCAGAGATATTTGGAATAGCATATATATTTATACTACTTTATATATTTTTTAATTGATTTTTTACAGAGAGGAAGAGAGAGGGATAGAGAGTTAGAAACATCAATGAGAGGGACATCAATCAGCTGCCTCTTGCACACCCCCTACTGTGGATGTGCCCGCAACGAAAGTACATGCCCTTGACCGAATCGAACCCGGGACCTTTCAGTCCGCAGGCTGAAGCTCTTTCCACTGAGCCAAACCAGTTTTGGCTATTTATACTACTTTAAAAAAATATTTCCTAAATTCCCCTCTCTTGTTTATTTTTTAAAAAAGTGTTACTTTTTTTTCCCCTTGAAAATGTATAATGATTACTAGGGAAAATGTATAATGATTACTAGGGAAAATATATGTCACTCTAGTTTGGCATCAAAATGAGACAACTATCCAATCAGAATGTATAACAATTTCTTATCCATTTCAGAACAGTCTAAAACCACTAGGTTATCTCAAATATACAGTAAAAATCTAAGTTTAAAAACAATCAAGAAGATAATTAATTAATTCTTCTACAGATATAAACACTAGTAACAAGAAGAATCAGTAGAAGCTATAATTTCACTAAATATTGTCTATAATAAAATATAATGTCCTGCTTTCAAGGGAGATGTTACAACGTATTCTGTTTCTTAAGATTTATAACTGGATTTTATAAGCAATAGCAACATTTCTTATTTTACTTTTCATTGTTTATCACATAAAATTTTAGCTATATTGGTTCATTGTGACTAGGCCTCATTGACAAGGCCTCATTTTCTCAATGTCTCAAAGAGTAAAGTAAGGAATGCTTTATAAATAAAAATATTACTCTTTAAAATTTCTGAAAATAGACATACTAGCCATGTTGATTAAGTTTAGCTCTTCAAATGATAAATTAAACTACAAGGTAAGCATCTATTATAGGTACATGTTCCAAATTACTGTTTCATTTTGATATTGCTTATATCCATCATTCTACTTAAACATATTCTTGCTCAAATTAACATGGAAATGTCATCAGAAAATAATGATTTTTTTTATAAGACAACTTTTAAAAACTTCTTGTGTACAAGATGGGTATTAAAAATGATAGGTAACTACTGCAAGTACTATATAACTTGATTATAAATGGAGAATAAACCACCTTTCTTCTTTAAGTATTGCAAGTACTATATAACTTGATTATAAATGGAGAATAAACCACCTTCCTTACATAACATTAAATAGAGGCAAAATCAGTCCTTCTAAAATGAGCTTGAAAATATTCAAAAATTTGCTTTTAATGTTGATTTACAACATTATGCCAATTTAGTATTTATGGATAAAGAAATAATTGGATTTTCATAATTAAAATTCTTTATTTCCTAGCATTTTATTCAGTATCATGTTATAGCATGTATTAAAAATCTGTGGCCACACCACCAATAGATTACATGAAAAGCAAAGACATTCATTTTATATAAAATCTCCTTTAAGTCACACTTATCAACATAATTTTATAATAGAATGGAAGATCTTGTTAATGCTTAGATCTTTTAAACATTCAAAATAATTTTTCAAGATATTGAAATTTTATTTTGTATTTACTAATTTTTTGAGAGAGAAACATCAACTTGTTGTTCCACTTATTTATGCATTCATTGGTTGATTTTTTTGAAAAAAATATATTTTTATTGAAATCAGAGAGGAAGGGAGAGGGAGAGAAACATCAATGATGAGAGAGAATCATTGATCAGCTTCCCCTTGCACACCCCCTAGCAGTGATCAAGACTGTAGCCCAGCCATATGTCCTTGACCAAAATCGAACCCAGGACCCTCCAGTCCATAGGCTAATGCTATATCCACTGAACCAAACCGGCTGAGGGCTCATTGGTAGATTCTTGCATGTGTCCCGAACAGGGATTGAACCCAAAACCTTGGTGTATTGGAATGATGCTCTAACCCAAACTCATTAGTTAACAGAGCCAAGTATCAACACTACAATGATTGAAATTTCTTTAGAGAGCCAAATTTTTTACACTTAAACTTCTTAACACCACTTCTTCAAAATAGACTCGTCCAGGGTGTGGTATTTTGTGGAAGAGCCACACTCAAGGAGCCAAAGAGCCGCATGTGGCTTGTGAGCCATGGTTTGTCGACCAAGGCTTTAATCAACTGAGCAACCTAGCCAGGGCCCAAGATATTAGAATTTTAGTATATCTATAGATATGTTCTCAAATAAGTTCTTCATCATTCTGAATTTCTGAAATTATTAGAAGTCTCACTCACTTTTTTAGTCAATGTCTTATTTTTGAGTCTTTTGGAGTCTACAAGACTTAACCTTTAAAATATGGTTTCATTTTTATATTTGTTCATCCTCACCCAAGGATATTTTTCCATGAATTTTTAGAGATAGTTGAAGGATGGGAGAGAATCTGAGAAACATGATGTGAGAGGGACACATTGATTGGTTGCTTCCTTCAAGCACCCCGACTTGAGGCACGGGATTGAGCCTGCAACTAAGGCACTTACTCTTGAGAGGAATCAAACCTGGGACACTTCAGTACACCGGCTGGTGCTCCATTCACTGAGCCAAACCTGTGAGGGCTTTCATTTTTAATTGAGTGAATTATAAATAGAAATTATAAACAAAATTATTAACATCCATATAGTTTGCCAAATTGTTATCTTTGACTAAACACATTTTTAAATAAAAAGTACTCATTTTAGCCAAAACCGGTTTGGCTCAGTGGATAGAGCATCGGCTTGGGGACTGAAGGGTCCTGGGTTCTATTCCGGTCAAGGGCATGTTCCTTGGTTGAGGGCACATCCCCAATGGGGGGTGTGCAAGAAGCAGCTAATCAATAACTCTCTCTCATCAATGTTTCTAACTCTCTCTCTCTCTCTCTCTCTCCTTTCCTCTCTGTATAAAAATCAATAAAATATATTTTTTAAAAGTACTCATTTTAATACAAACCATAAATTAAAAAGGAGTTCTTATTACATTACATATAAAAATAACTTATAATTTTAATGAAATGTTATATGAAAATCATATCAGGTTTAAAAATAAAGAGCATTCACATATGATTACTACTAATCTTAAAATAATATATTCCATCCAATTTCCTTTCATTGGAACCATATAACATCTGATTGTACATATGATTGAAACATAATGTTAATACTCTAGTCTAAAGGTAATGGTATAATAAAACAGTAATTCATCAATAAACTAAGAATATTTAATGAATTTTTTAAATATGCTGAAGGCATGCCTAATGTTAAAGATGGTATGAAAACGCAAAATACAACCAAGTCAAAAAATTCATAAAAAAGTAAAAATAAAATTTAAAACTAACACCTGAAAATTACTGAAGTTAATACTAACCTTAGAACCCTGGACATGCATTAGACAAAACAGACAACAGACCAAAAAAGTACAAGAAAAGAAAATTATTAAAATTAAATAAAAATACAATATATAATTGAAACACAAAATAATATATTTAAAATTATATTTGAGTATTTTATTAAAAGTAAAAATCACAGAAGAGGTATTCATTTTATAAATTAAAATGACTAAAATCAAATATCAAATATCCAGAGTTGTTTATTTTTTTATTAGAATAACTCTGCCAAATAACATGTCGAAAAATTTAAGTTATGTATTAGAAATTATGCATATCCTATTTTGTAAATTAAGTATCTTTTTTTCTAGCAGATGGCCTTAAGGAAACAAAGTAGTATGATATTTCTGTAAAAGCCTGTACTGGTTTAGGCAGACATGACTTAGGCAAATAAACTATACCATACTTCTAGAATTTTCTTTAAAAAATTATGTTATAATTTGGAGCCCTTCCAATAGATCAAACCCACCAGAAGTTAATAAAAGATAAAATATTTCAGTGATTATAACTTAAAGACCACTTTCCCTTGCTAGGAAATAATTTATTGATATACCTGGTACTAAATGGTGTTTGCATATGAACTAATATAGATATTTTAGCTTCAGAATCTTATAAGAATTATATTTAATATATTGAAAATTTGGGGTAAAATTCTTTACAGTAAAAATCATTAACTGTTCCTATTCTTTGATCAAATATATGTGAGCATAAATTTTAAAATACACTATTTACATGTACATTGCATAGGAGAATATACAAAATCTTCCTGAGAATACTAAAGAATAATCAATGTTATGAGATAAAACAAAAAATAATATTTTCAAATCTATTTACTAAATATTATGATAATGGTAAGAAAACATTACCAATATTAAAATTTTGTCATCATTTTTTAACAGAAAAAGTTGTTCTTCTTTCTTTTGACTTTGAAACTATTAGGAAAGCCAGAAATATCAGTCTCAATTATTTTTCTATAACAGAGAAATCATACATGAAACTGAATTAAATTCTAAGCATTCAGTGTTCTGGATAACTGACCAAAATGGTCAATCTAAAATCACAAAATCATTTTGCAATTTGCAGTTGATCCATGTTTCTTACTTTTCTTCATTTTTCCCCTCCAATTTCTTTCATTTATTACCTACTTGCACAATGTGTAGGAAATTCTAGTAAATAAGAGTTTGATTCAAATGGCTAATCATAAAAACATTAACTCAAAAAAATCAAAAAAAATAATGTTCCTTCCTGAAAACAAAGATTGGTCAAAATACATACTAAGAAGTCTAAAGTTAAAACCATTGCACAGGTAATATGTTTGAAATTATTTTTGTAATTTATTTTCTATGCCACATATGATTTTAAATTATATAGGCAAAATTGAAACTCAACAAACTCCTATTCTTCTATGGATATTAAGTTCAAGGTGTTCACTATAATATAAATATTCTATCACTATATTTCTTTTTCCTTGAAGTTTTCATTAAGATATTTTCTTACAAGAAAGATTAATATAAACAGCTCAAATTTTCATACATGATAATACTGTAACAGCAATACACAAATGTTTATCCTTAGTATGGATTGTTGTATTCATATAAGGTCCCAGGGCAGAAAATAGACAAACATTATACCAATCCCATGGAAACAACAGGCAAAAATATTATATCATTTTAGTATTTTGCCATCAAAATCCATAATAATTAAATTTGTGTCAAATATCTTCTTTTAAACTTCAAAATTTTGAGTATGACAACTTTAGTTTATAAATGGGAAGATTATTCTATCATGATACAATTCTGAATAAATAGTTCCAAAAGGAACTAAATAAAGGAAACATCCAATAAGAGCTTCTCTAGAGCACTTTACATATATATACCTCACAATTTTCAACAAACTCCATATGGAATCAGTAAAATGAACACCTTTTAATAAATGACAAAGTTGCAGTTAAGGTCATATCTAGGAAGTGATAGAACCCAAGTTAAAATATAAGATTTATGCTAAAACTAATATACCTTATATTAAACCAAAACATCAAAAGATCATGTCTGAATATCACTGGTAACAGGAAACAAGTTTGGTTTTTTCTAATAAGAAGTAAATTATATGGGAAAGACATGTTCCTGTCCTGAGCTTTGAGTCCTTTATAAAAATAGATAACTATGCAGAATTCTTAGCATTCTACTTACACACTCCTAGTTAAATATAATCTAACATTAGACATGTCAAATGCTAAAGAAAAGTAGCATGGCTGACAAAATTTACATCTCTCCTAGTGGACTATAATGCCTGTAATATTCAGAAATTGCTGTTAAAAATTAAACTGTAATAATGTTAAGCTTTATTAAAATTTCACACTAAATTTCAGTAATAAGTAATAAAGTTTTCACACTAAAACATTTATTATGATATTTGTATTTACTTGAAGAAATGATGCAAACTATAATCCACAAGTCAAATCTGCCTCACTGGCTGTTTTTATAAATAAAGTTTTATTAAGGAACACATATATCCAAATCCTTTATGTAACTATCTATAGCTGCAAAACCATAGCTGAGTATATGGGATAGAGACCATACAGCCCACAAAACTGAAAATATTTACTCTATCTGATCCATATAGAAAAAGTTTGCCAACCACTGCCATATCATTTATCATAATTTTTCATTAAATGCACATCCACATAAAATGCATGAATATTTTTTAAAACTCCACAAACCTAAACAAAGTTATCAGATCACTCGAGTGTTAGTTTCAAATATTTCTAATTTCTCTTTTAAAATTTTAACGGCATCTACATAACAATGTTTCTCTTTGGTGATCTGATGTTACCAATGATTCTTTTTCACTTATTCCTTCCAAATATGTCGATTGGCTTTTTACATTTTAAAACTAAGTAAAAAATTTCCATATGTTAGTTCTAATTCCTTCTTAATTCAATATCCGACTTTCTAACTTTCCCCCTCTACTACATTATAATTTTTAGCAAGAATATTATACAGTCAAGGAATAGAAAACAATATCAGCAGTCAGCACCAAATATACTAAAGTGGGAGAAATGATTCTAGCTGTTTCTTTTAGGGACACAATTTATTCAAAGAACATAAAATTGATATATAACCAGACATAGGTAAAATCAATTAATGGACCAAAATAACAAAAATATAGAGAGAAAAAGAAGAAAAGTTTCTCCTACTGAATGAATTACCAAGTCTTTTGAAAACAATTTAGGCTTTAAGTAATTCCAAACTCAAACTATACTAGTCAAAATTGCACAGGTAATATGTTTGAAAATCAAACTTCAAAATGTCAGTATCTTTACTGTACATTCATTATAAAATAAAAATAAGAAAATTTGGGTCATGAAATATTATATACTTTTTAATATGTATTAGTAACATATTCCATTAATTTAATATTTCCCTATCTTGATAGTTATGTTTTAGCTTTAAAATCTGGAAAACTATATAGTAATGTGAATATCTGAAACCTATGAAAATTTTAGCACCAATGTTAACTTTATATAAAGCCAATTTTTCTGTTCTGCAGAAATTTTAAAATGATATATTTAAAAATGAATTTCAGTGGCCAGGCCAGGGGGAGCAGCCGGGTTGGGCGCGGCTAGGCCCGGAGCAGCGGCTGCCAGGCTGGGAGCGGCCAGGCCCGGAGCAGCAGCAGCCAAGTCCAGAGCAACTAGGTCGGGAGCGGCAGTGACCAGACCCGGAGCAGCTGGTTGTGGAACGAACCAGAGTAACAGAGGCCAGGCCCTGAGCAGCTCGCTCCTCGCCTGCCCCTGCCCCACGGCTGCCTCTCAGACATGGCTGGAAACTTTCATGGGAACTTGAGGGTCTGCTGAATCAAGTGATGAAGGCTTAGATCTGGATGTGTTGAGTTAGTATAGGGCTGGGGTGTTGATCTGTGAGTGCCTTGGGTGGGGCCTGGATGAGGCTGGTGAACCTATTGGGAAATGTCTTTTGTGTGAAGTGTATCATTGGGCATGTGGAGGTATTATTGATATGAGAAAATGCTAAGTAACTGATTTACTATCTGAAAAGGGATTTACTATCGGGGAAAGGGAGGGAAGAAGAGACTGAACATAAACTGTGCACCTATAGATGAGGACAATGGGGGATGGGAAGGGGGCAGAAGGTGGGGTGGGAACCTGGTGGAGGAGGGAAGAAATGAGGAACCTTTGTAATAATATGAACAATAAAGATTGATTTAAAAATAAATAAATAAATAAATAAATAATAAAAATAAAAATGAATTTCAACACAAACTTTTAAAATATATTGATAATAAATGATAATTTATAAGACATAAAACAAAATTTATATGATGAAAAAAATGCCAGAAGGAAAATATTGATTTATTCAGTTTTTAGTGTATAAAAGACAAAATGAAAATTTTCCCTGCATTGTAATATTTTTTTAAAAATCATACACAATTGTCAATTTATTGGAATTTGATATATATCTCCAGAGAAAATCAGATTAAAAGAAGAGACAGTATATTAATCACAGAGGATACCTGCACTCAACAATTTTTTTCCTGGCTCTATTTCCTTGGTTAGCTACTAATTCCATTAAAGTCCTAATGATGATATGTTCTGCTGCACATTCGCCTGAACTAGCCTTCATATTTTTTAGACTTCTTGAATAAATTCATGGATGAAATTGAAATAAATGTACCTGTGAGGGAATGGGAATTTGAGAGTACAATCTTCTGCTAATATTAAGTTTCAAGGTTGCTTGGGGAGTGGTAGCAATGACAAAAAAATGTTGTGAGCAAAAGAGTCATGTAGAAGAAGTGTTTAAGGATTAAATAAAGCCAGAGATCAATTTGGAAACACTGCCTTAACAAGTAAAAGACATATTAAAAAAAAAAATAAACTTTTTAAAAAATATATTGATTTGAGAGAGGGCAATGGGGGAGGGGGACAGAGAAAGATAAATAATAATTTGTCGTCCACTTATTTATAAATGCATTGTTGATACTTTATGTGCCCTGACCAAAGATCAAACCCACGACCTTGGTGTTTAGGGGATGATGCTCTAAACAACTGAGCTACCTGGCCAGGGCTAGTAAAAGACATATTAACAAGACAGACCTCTTTCTGGAAAAAAAGTATAGTACTTCATGGGCTTAGAGATGAGTCTCCAATATGGTAGCAAGCTCACAGGAAATATGGGAAGCATAATTCTCTATTCTTTCTCATTTCAGTTAGACATAGAACAAAATTTATGAAATTTTATAGACAGCTATAGTGCCAAAAAATTTTTTTATATAGATCAGATATATTTTTAAAGTGATTACTAAATATAAAATTTGTACCTACCTAGTATATTATAAATGACATAATTAATACTGATTGAATTTCAACCTTATTATATTAATATATTTCAATGTTTTACATAGAGGCAAACTATATTTTTTAAAATAAAAGTTGAACCAGCAAATAAAGTCAGGTAAAAATGCTATTAAAAGCCATTGAGAACATAAAATTTTCTGAGAATTTCAATGATTGTGAAATTTTTAAGATAGCATAAAAACAGCATGTTTTATAATTTTTCTATTTAGGTGCCTAAGTTTTAAATAAGAAACACTCCTAGAAATTATTAATTTGGTTCTATTTGAAACAAATTACTTAAGATCGATGTAGTTTATAATAATATTAAGTTTAGAAATAATGTCAAATAAATTATATGAGATTGCATTTATAATGATGATTTTTTTCTAAATTTATATTCATGATTAAGTATATACTTCTATTTAGAACATCAAGATTTACAGAACGAGGATTTTAACAGTTCATTATAATATTATATTTGAAGGGATAAACAACATACACAAAATAAAGTTAACAGTTTGTAGTTATGACTATTTATAAGAAGTATTTATTAGAATTACCAGAAAAATATTTTCATAAATACACATAGCTAGAACCCAAAACTGACAAACATTAATATGATGGATAAACATAACTTCATATAGTTACAAGTTCCCTTAGATGAACATATTTTATTAAAATCCACTTATAAACTTAAAGCCTAAATTTTTAGATACCTTTTTTTTTTAATGAATCCTAGGCCTTATAAATCTGTGTACAGTATTGAACACCACTGACATACTCTAGTCAAGTAATTATACAATATAACCACTAGATGGAGGCAGAGTACTTACACTTGGTGATGTAGCAGCAGAGAGCAAAGGTAAAATTCCTCCACAAGCAATGATGATGTTGTCTACCATTTGGGATATGAGGTGAATTGTGTTATGTACAAAAATAATGTTTTCATTGCTATTGACAAAATCCATTACAGACTTTGTGGAATGGCTAAAATAGCAGAAAAACAAAATGCAAATGAACAATTCCTTGGCTTAAGAATAAGAAATTTAGACAGTTTATAATAACATTTTTAAAGTGACAAATAATGAAAAGCTAGGCAAATTTAAAATGGAGTTCTCAGAAAATAATATAATTTAAAATTGATATTTTATATTACCAAAAATTTAGCACCTTTACATGGTTACTATGTGTGTATATTAATCTAGTATTTTGTTTACCAAGAAATATATTCAAAGGTATATTACTATATCAATGAATTTGGCTGAAAATATTTATTTTTGCCAGTTTTCATCTTGTGTTAAAAGACAGAACAACTGGATAGTTAACAACGTTTTGCTACCTTTTATGCAATTTCAATTTGTTGCATCACCAGACTCCAGTCCCCTACCTTTGTCCAGCCATACTGAAAATGTATATTGCTAGTCACAGAAGTAATGTAGTAGGAGAAATAAATCAGTAAAAATTCAAAGATTTATTGAATAAAAAGAGAAAAGACCTCAAAGGTTGGCAGTAGAGTTTCTGCATATAAAACATACACTGTAGATATTCAGAGAAATACACTGCTTTAGTTCTGTGTCATGAACAATATTTTAACGGGGGAAAGGAAGAAACTACTTTATGATCAAATTTAAGTCAATGATTCTCAACTTTTAGAACTGTACAATATCATATATTATATCTTAGCTCTCAAGATGTTTTCCCCTGTCCTAAGTATAAGTTCTGCCTTTAAAAATATTTTTAATTATATAGACTTCTGTTTGGGAAATTTTTTGAGAGCTCTTGAAAGGAAACAAAGAAACACAGTATGTTAAAGAAAATAAAATTGACTATCACTCACTTAGAAGCCACTATTACTGAAATTAGGAAATTACATAATTTTTATACAATCCTATTCATGTTAACCTTAATGTCTTTCATGGTATTCTAGGTTCCTTCTTTACCATCTGTATGTAATTTATCATGTAACAACACTAGCAAGGAAAATATCTTTGTTTCTATACATCAGTAGACTAAGGACAAATTAATAAAATAATATCAGAAGTAAAAACATAATGTGGCAGGCCTTGACTACTACCATATTCCTCTTCCATGCTAACAAAATCAAGATTTTGTTCTATTATTGAATTAGACCAGGTATAGGAAAGGTTGGCCTCACCCCAGCTATCTATACAGAGCAAAATTGGTCAATAATCTGACTAATATTGCTCTGTATAGATCAGTCTTTTAATTCCACTAAGGGCCCAGTGCACAAAATTCTTGCACTGGCGGGGTCCCTCAGCCTGGCCTACGCCCTCTTGCAGTCTGTTTTAGCCTTGGGAGAAGTCCGCCTACGCTAGCAGTCAGGCATCCCTCTCTTAGTACGGGGCTATAGCAGTCTGAGAGCTCCTCGCTCCTTACTGCCCACGTGCAGTGGAGGCAAGAGAAGCTTCCACCACCACCGCTGCGCTTGCCAGCCATGAGCCAGGCTGAGTGGTGCTACCCCTAAGCACTGGTCATTCCACTGTTTGGTTTATTTGCATATTAGAGTTTTATTATATAGAACTACAGGCCCGGTGCATGAAAACTCATGCACTGGAGGAGGGGTCCCTCAGTCCAGCCTGTCCCCTCTCACAGTCCAAGAGCCCTCAGAGGCGGGAGGTGACCCAGTGATCAGGGGAAGGCAATGCCCCCATCACATCTCTGCAGCTGCCACTGCCAGCAGCACAAGCCTTGGCCAGGCCTGGTTACCAGAGCCTTGGGCAACCCAGAGTGGCTGGGCAGCCACCATCCCAGACTTGCCTGCACCTTGAGCCGGCCCTGGGCGGCTGGGGGGCTGAAAGAACTGGGGGACTCCAGAGGAAGATGCACACAGTGGCCAGACCCACCTGGGACGGGCCCAGCTGTGCTGTGTGCCTGCCGCCCTCGTAGGGCTGTCGGGACTGGGTGCCCCCATCTTGTGGCTATGGGCACTATCATCATTGAGGGTGTGGCAGCAATTAGCATATTCCCTCCTTATTGGCTGTGGGCACCACTTTCTTTTGTGAGGGCATGATAGTCAATTAGCATATTGCATCTTTATTAGATAGGATTTCCTTTTGCTGATGATTAACTTAGAAAAGAGCATATGATCCTGCTAGTATGTGAGATATAAGGGAAATTTCTTGAGTGGCTTCAATTAAAACAAAACATAAAAAAAGAAAGAAAAAGGAGGAGAAAGAGGGAAAAAAAAAAGGAGGAGAAAGAGGGAAAAAAAAAGGAAAGAAAGGAAGAGAAAGGAGGAGGGAAAAAGAAAGAGGACGAAAGAAGGATATGAAGGAAAAAGAGTCATCCATACCCTCTAGTTAGGACAAGTTTCCTACATTGATTCAATCCTGGGAGCTGAAGCAAGCACCTTGAATCTTAGAAAAAAATCAGGAGAAGCAGAGGAACCCATTTGAATCTTGAGAATACTGCACCACTGATACTTGTGATAGTGTCTTACTCTGTTACAGAGTACCATCAGTTTCCTAATTTATATGCTTGCATATATAAATGACACACTCTCATAATCAATTTGTTGTATATTTGCTATTAAAAATTAAATCAAAAGTGAGGCAAGGTATTGACTTAATTTATGCACACTTGGTTTTCATTAAGTGGTTATATTTTAACCGATATAGTCTTTAAAATAGGTGTCATAAATAATTTAAACTTTTATTTTAAAAATGCATATATCTTATCAATAATAAGAATACATTTATTACGTGGTATTAATTTTTAAGAGTAAAAGATTAAAAAAAAATTCTTCAATGAAAGTAGTCTTAATTCTAGAAAAGAAATATTTCTACCTTCTCCAAACATGTACATCTGTTTCTAAAGCAAATAGTAAATCGGTGAGAAGTCGTTGGTGCATTGGAGACCACTTAAACTCAGGAATACGAAACATTGTAGTGCGTGGGCCTGGGCTAAACTGGCGTCGCTGTTCCTCAGTCATTGGCATTCCTCGAAATCCTAAATCAACTCGGAGATCTCTGTCCTGTTGTGTAAGAGGCCGACCCTGAACAGCCTAGAGAAATAAAAGGGGAACATTTGTAGAGTGCAAAATAAATTACCGATTTCAAAATAAAAACAGTAAGTAAAGTAAGTGCATGAGTAAAGATTTTACTTATGACTTAAGTAGGCTAGCTTATTTACATATCCTATATAATAAAGAGGTAACATGTAAATTGACCATCACTCTTACACATAAGATAGTCACCCCCATATGGTCAAAGATGGATGCCCCAATGTGGACACAAGATGGCCTCCACAAAATGGCCAGCAGGAAAGGGCAGTTAGGGGTGACTGGGCTGGCAGAGAGGACAGCTGGGGGCGACCAGGTCTAAAGGGAAGGACAGGTGGGGTGACCAGGCCTGCAGGGGAGGGCAGCTGGGGGAAATCAGGCCTGTAGGGGAGGGCAGTTGGGGGCAATTGGGCCAGCAGGGGAGCAGTTAGGCATCGATCAGGCTGGCAGGGGAGTGGTTAGGGGTGATCAGGCTAGTAGGCAGGTGAGCGGTTGAGAGCCAGCAGTCCTGGATTGTGAGAGGGATATCTGACTGCCCATTTAGGAGCCAAACATCCTTCTAGGGGTCCTAAATTGGAGAAGGTACAGGCTGGGCAGAGGGACACCCCTACCCCCATGCACGAATTTCGTGTACCAGGCCTCTAGTATATATATATATATATATATATATATATATATATATATATATATATATATATATATATGTGTGTGTGTGTGTGTGTGTGTGTGTGTGTGTATGTCCCTCAGCACAGCCTGTACCCACTCCAATTTAGGACACCTAGAGGGATCTCTTACTGCCCGTTTAGGCCCAATCCTACTGGGATAGGGCCTAAACAGGCAGTTGGACATCCCTTTCACAATCCAGGACTGCTGGCTCCCAACCGCTTGCCTGCCTGCTTTCCTGACTGCCCCTAACCACTCCTGCCTGCCAGCCTGATTGATGCCTAACTGCTGCCCTGCCAGCCTGCTTGCCCCTAACTACCCTTCCCTGAAGGCCTAGTCACCCCTAACTGCCTTCCCCTGCAGGCCTGGTCCCCCAACTGCTCTTCCCTGCAGGCCCGGGTCCCCCATCAACTGCCCCTCCCTGCAGGCCCAGTCGACCCCAACTTCCCTCCTCTGTCAGCCTGGTCTCCCCTGTAGACTCGGTTGCCCTCAACTGCCCTCCCTTGCAGGCCTCATCTCTCCTAAATGTCCTCCCTTGCTGGCCATCTTGTGGTGGCCATCTTGTGTCCACATGGGGGCAGCCATCTTGTTTGTTGGAGTGATGGTCAATTTTCACATTATCCTTTTTATTAGATAGGATTATATAGGATAGAGGCTGGTGCATGGGTGGGGGCTGGCTTAAATGTCCTGAAGGGTATCCCATGTCAGGGTGGGGTTCCCTTGGGGCATAGAGCAGCCTGTATAAGGGGCCTGAGGTAATTTACAGGCTGGCCACACCCCAGGGCGAACCAAGCAGAGGCCCTGGTATCTGGGATTTATTTATCTTCTATAATTGAAACTTTGTAGCCATAAGCAGAGGCGAAGGCAGGCCAGGGCAGCAGAAACTTGGCTTTCTCTATCACTAGGGAAAACTCAATCTCCTGCTCTCTCCAGATGAAGGGCTGCCACCATTTTTGTTGGGATTTATTTATCTTCTATAATTAAAACTTTGTAGCCTTAAGTGGAGACCAAGGCAGGCCAGGGTACGCAGAAAGTTTGGCTTCCTCCATTGCTGGGGAAATCCAAGTCTCCTGCTCTCTCCATGCCACAGCCATCTTGGTTGGGTTAATTTGCACTCTTGCTTCTGATTGACTGGTGGTCGTGTCAGAGGTATGGTCAATTTGCATCTTTCTCTTTTATTAGTGTAGATGTTAAATTTAGTGAATTCTGTAAAACTCAGAGACCAGCAACAAAACAAATCATAAAAGGTAAAAGTTTTTTTCAACTCTTAATTCTAAGGCATTATTTAGCCTAGAAAATAAGGAAGTAGACTAAAAACACAAAGATCAATAATTAAAATCCATATTAGAAAAAATCATCCATTTTTCATTTTACTTTGGTGAGACCAAAACTGAAGCACTAACATTCCCTCCCCACCAGGCCTTAGAGCCTTTCATTTTCTCATAATAACTTTATATCCATGCGGTTGTAAGAAAAAATTCTCACTGCTAATAACTGCAAATTTTTAGTTTCTCTTTGTGAGAATTCATTGTTGGTGGATAAAATTATCATCGATTTCTGGGTGTTAATTTTGTGTCCTGCTACATTGCTGAATTCATTTATTAAATCTAGTAGATTTTTGGTGGAGTGTTTATAGTTTTCTACATAAAATATCAAGTCATCTTCAAATAATGACAGTTCTAATTCCTCCTTTACAATTTGGATGCGTTTTATTTTGTCTTCTTGTCAGATTGCTGTGACTAGGACTTTGGGTACTATCCACACTAATAAGAGAAAGATGCAAATGGACCATACCTTCACGATGCCCAACAGCCAATCAGGAGTGAGTATGCAAATTAAGCCAACAAAGATGACAGGTCAATTTGCATACACAGACTCAGAGCAGCCTGGGGCGGGGTAAGACTGCACCATTGCCATGGCAATGATGCAGGCTTTCCACACCACTCCAGCTGCTCTGGGCGTTTGGGCAGTGTGGGAAGGCGAAAAGGAGGCTCCAGGCTGGAGTGAGGCCAGTGCTGGCAGCCAGAGTAAAGAAGGCCCATTCTTGCACAAATCTTTGTGCATTTGGCCTCTAGTATTGAATAAAAGTGGTGAAAGTGGACAACTCTGTCTTGCTTTTTAAGGAGAATGGTTTCATCAGTTACTATTGGCCTATTCAGGTTTTCTGCTTTTTCCTGTTTTAGTTTTGGAAGATTGTATTTTTCTAGGAATGTGTCCATTTTCCTGGCAAGGATGTGGAGAAAAAGGATCCCTAGCACACTGCTAGTGGGAATGCAGACTGGTACAACCATTATGGAAAACAGTGTGGAGTTCCCTCAAAAAATAAAAAAATAGAACTGCCATTCAACTCAGTGATCTCGCTTCTAGGAATATATCCTAAGAAGCCAGAAACAATATATGCACCCCTATGTTCATAGCAGCATTATATAAAATAGCTTGAAAAGAGCCCAAGTGCCAATCAGTAGATGAATGGATTAAAAAACAGTGGTACATTTATACAATGGAATACTATACAGCTGTAAAAAATATTCTCTCATCCTTTGTTACAGCACGGAGGGATCTGGAGAGTATTATGCTAAGCAAATTAAGCCAGTCAGAGAAAGATAAGTATCATATGATCTCACTTACATATGAAATCTGATGAACAAAAAAGATAACAGACATTGAACCATATAACAAACTAATGTATTTCAGAGGGAAGCAGTGGGGGGGTGGGGAGTGTGGGAAGAGATTTACCAATTAACTTATATGCATAGCCCATTGTCAGACAATAGTGCTGGGAAAGCTTGGGGCTGACGCTGGAGAGGGATGGGAGCAGGTTGGAGAGGGTCATTGGGGAGGGAGGGGATATCTGTAATACTTTCAACAATGACAACAAAACAATTTAAACTAAGTATTCAGAGTGAAGATATTGAGTACAAAATGTGTACATGTAGTCACAGAGTCATAAAATGTTAGAACTAGGTGAGCCCCTAATGGCCATATTTTAATCTAATACAATCTGTAGTATAATATAAGCAAATTCAGGCCCAGAGAGATTGAGTAAGTTACACAGAATTGGAAATAAAATCCAGCTATTTTAAATTTCTTTAATATGTACTGCCATACTATTCAATTCTATAAAATACTATTTTATCATAATTAAATATAAGCATAGTGTAACTGGTAAGAAATTACTCCTCTTTTATGTTAACAATGCAACATCTATTTAATAAATTTTTAGAACATATGTTAGGTAACTTACTTGTGTTGTAGTAGTGGTCTGAATTTTTCGGATCTCTTTTCCTGATTCTTTGCCATCATCAGATCTCTCAGTATCTGAAACTATACTTCCAGCATCAATATTTGGTACAATTTTACTACCGGAAGATTCAGTTTCCAGAGTTGTAGCAGTCATTTCAGCATACTCTAATCCTTTAGATGATAAGTCTCTTTCGGAAATACTGCTCATTCCATCTGTAGTTGTATGGATTTTGAACTCTTTTTCTTCTATTATACTTGCACAAGTTAAATCTACACTACCAGTCATGTGAGCAAGTAACCCAAGATCATCACTAACACCAAGATGCACTTGTGTGTCCTGAATATTCGGAATAATGTGATTGCTAGAAAGTTGAGGAAGGAGTTTCTCTTCCTGTTTGGGTATTTTATCAAAGAGAAATGATGTGTTTCTATTAGGAAGATCATCTTTCTCATCTGCTAATGTTATCAATGGGCCATTATCCTTTTCTTCATTTTTTTGAATGATACCAACACTTCCATGTACATTGTTCTGAAGTTTCTCAACAGCAGCACAATATACATTATCCAACAAAGATTCAACCTCCACAAGGGCACCATTCTCTCCACCTACAAGGGTCTCTGGTGATAAATCCATATCATCCAACTTTACTTCTGTTGCTTCCACTTTCTCTGCTTTTATATCAACTAAAAGATCATGCACTTCCACGTGTACACCACTTCTCGGTCTATCTGAATTCCCAAGTATATCATCTGACACTTTTGTTGACATAAGCAAGTCTCCAGGGTCTGTGCTGACAGGGTAATCTGTCTCACTTTCTGGGCTCTGGCTTTGTGAAAGATCTTCTATCTCTCGAATTTCCATTCCACCTTTTGCTCCTGTTGTCTGCGATGAAAGACCAGAGATGGTGCTCACATTCCCTTTCTTTCCCTTTTTAATGTTTTCCTCTTCTTGTCTCTGATATTCTTCATACATTTTGGCTAGGTATTCCTTATGTGCTTCATAAGTGACCTTAGAAACAAAGGAAAAAAACATTAAGGCATTTTATATATAACAAGAAATAAGAGTTACAAATACAATCTCTCTATATAAAACCCTAATATGCAAATAGACTGAACAGCAGAACAACCAAAGAAGTAAACAACTGGTCACTATGATGTGTGCTAAACACCAGGGATCATACGCAGAACATGGCAGGCATCAGATGGTGGAGCAGGTGAGCAGGGATGACAGATCAAGGCGGTTGCCAGTCACTGTCATCAGGGCGAGCCTCTGAGGGTTATTGAAAATTGTTTGCTCTCACATGCCATGGTCCCACCCTGCTGCTCACGCTTGCTGCTGGCACCAGCGCTGGCCCCACTTGCATCCACTGCCAGCGCTTGGTGCCTGCAGCAATCGCTCAGTGCTGTCAGTGTGTACAAGTGGTGGCAGCCATTCCTGATTACCCTTCAGGGCTTCTCCACCTCCACCTACTCCTGAGAGGGGATCAGGACTAGCAGCCACCTCTAACACCCACTGCTGGCAATGGCCCCAATCACTCTGCACCATCAGGTGTGAGCGGAGCCAGCGTCAATCAGCACACAGGAGAAGCAGCAGCAGGTGGGGGCTTCCTGCAGACAGGGACAGGGACGGGGTGGCAGGAAGGCCGGGAGGGGGCAAGGAAGATGGGCTAAGACCCACCTCTGTGCCTATTGCAGCCTCCTGGCCCACAGTTCCTTTTAGTTGCACGAATTCACGCATTGAGACCCTAGTTATGTTAATAATAGGAAAATGGTGCCAAAAATTTTAAATTATCAAACACAGCATGTATTAAGTTAGGTAAATTAATAATATTAATGTTTTAAGTAGAATCTTTACTTATAGGTTAAGTATTTCAATGTTGCTCTTACCTAATATGCCAGTTAAACTCCTACATATATGAGGTTATCTGAGCTAAATGAAGAAGTGACTAATATATAGACCCAATACTATTACTAGATCAGATTTCACCACTCATTAATCATATGTGTACCTATTTCAACAATTGTTTTAAGAAACCCACACACATCTATGAATATATACAATTATAAATTGTTGAGATATCACAATTTTATTTTTAAATAGGCTATTTTAATTTGAAACTTTATAGACTTATTTTGGATATATATATATCTTACATAAAACGCAATATCTGGTGGAGGAGGGCAAAGGGGAGGAAATAGGAGGGCATTTGTAATAATGTTATAATAAAAAAATGCAATATCTTTTCTTATAAAATACTATTTTCAAATTTGTTAGTATAATAAAAAAAGGTACCAATATATTATAAAGTTTAAAGTATTAACAGCAATAAAAGCTCTTCTAAAAATAAAAATAAGTTAAACGTTTTTCCTTAGTAGCACATATGATATTAATTTCTAATTAAGTCATAGAAAGAAAATTTTAGTTTGTAGTGGACCGCCCTTTGGAGATTATCTTGATTATCCCTTTATTTTATGGAAGATAAAATCAAATTCCAAAAATGGAGATGGAAAACTGTCTTCCTTCCACCAAAGATTAGATACTATTTTAAATATAAATATTTTTATTTCCAGGATTAAAAATAAAGAAATGATAATGCAATTAAAGATAGCACTAAAATTAAATAGTTTGAAATATTTATAATTTACTTGTAAATAAAAAGAACTTCTGGCTGCTTTTTTAAAGTCTTAAAAAGTAGAATCCATAAAATACTCTGAGGTATGTTTTATTTTTAAAAAGGGCAATTGGCTGTCTCAAGTTCTCAGATCTGCTATATATGTGAAGTAACCTGTGGGGTCTAAAATTCCTAATTTATAAACCTGAGATTTCAATCAAATGATATCTAAAACTTAAAGATCTAATAGTGTATGAACAGAAGGGAGAAAAACAGAAAAGAAAGAAAACTGGGAAGGAGGAGTTGGCTTTAATGGAAAATGCCCAGAAGAGGGCACCAAATGAGCATTTATAGCCATTTAATTAACCTACAGATGAAAACTAGATGATATAAAATGCTAAATCTCTATTACCTTGGAATGCGCTATTGAGAGTGTGTCCACCCAGACTCTCCAGCCTCCCCATTCATATTTAATTGCATGATACAACAAAATTCGGAAGATATTATAGACCATCTCAGTAATCTTCTGTTCTTCAGAATTTTTAGGATTGATATAGCCAAGAGAAAACATCCAATCCTGCCATACTGAACACTGCAATAAACATCTATTGAAAAAATATATATTCATTAAAGACATCTAAATCATTTAGAATTTACTATTTTGAAACTTAGATAAATAGTGAAAACTGCACCTAGATCAACGAAGGTACAATCATTCTGCATAGTCTATATTCTACACTTGGAATAGCATTCTCCCATTTTGATACCTGGAAAAAAATCTAAGTTATTATTAAAACTGCTTTCATAACTTTCCCAGTCACATTAAGTTATTATTTCTCTACTACCTCATCACCTGCAGCACTCACAATGCACTTAATATCTTGTAAAATAGCCACTGCTTTATTATTCTTTCCCACTAAACTGTACTAAGACTGTATGCAAGACAACCTATGCAGCAAGGTGCTTTATACCCACCAGAAAATCAATATTTGTTAAATTAATGACTCAGGCAGCAACCATGGCTCCATGTCCTAGGTAACCAGCTTAAAAATACATGGCAACTACCAGTTATCAGACAAATTCAGGAAAAGCATGGATGAATATGAGCTTATCCAACACAATTCTAATTAAAACTATTATTGGTGATAGATAATAGAAAGCACCAAAAGGAACAGTGCAATTTAAATAATGAAAAAAATATGTTCTTAATGGGTATATATTCACATATTCAAATAAAATTTTTTTGTGGGTATATGTTCATATATTCAATTAATTAAAAATATGTTTTGTGGGTATATATTCATATACTCAATTAAAATAACACCCATATAAGTAAAAACATTGATATAAGTGAAAGTATGCTAACTGCAGATTATATTAAAGAAACATGCAATGTCTTCTGATGATCAAAAGTGTTCAGCACCCTGGCTGGTTTGCTTAATGGTTAGAGCATTGGCCCACAGACCAAAGGGTCACAGATTTGATTATGGGTCAAGGGCATGTACCTTAGTTGCAGGTTCCACACCCAGCCCCAGTAGGAGAAGCAACCAGCCACCAATCGTAGATATCTCTCTCTCTCTCTCTCTCTCTCTCTCTCTCTCTCTCTCTCTCTCTCTCTCTCTCTCTTCTCTCTCTCTCTTTCCTTTCCTCCCTCCTTCCCTCTCTCTCCCTCTTCTCTCCCCCCCCCTCTCTCCCTCTCCTTCTCCTTCTCCCTCTCTCCCTCCCATCGTCCTTCCCCACCCTTTTCTTATTATTTTTCTATAAAAATTAATGGGAAAAATAATATATCATCAGGTGAGGATAAAAATCGATTTAGAAAAGTGGAAAAGATTGGAATTTTTTTTTTCTCTAAAAGAGATTGAAAATAAAGAAAAGGAACTGAGGTAAATTATGGAATACAGTTGTTGTTTTGTAATAGTATTCGAATTGCTTACCTTCTATTTTCACGGCTATTACTGAAAAGTTTTATCATGTCAGATAAAAATAAACGACGAACTTCCATCAGTTCTGCACTTGGTGTAGAGTTTTTTAACAAAGTGGCCACTACCTTAAGAATCACTGTGAAAGAACAACAATAACAAAAAAAGCATAGTATAGATTTATAACTACATCATATCTTCCAATCAAAAACCATTTACTGATTTTTCAACTAAAGGCTTACTTAGCACCATGGTAGGTGATTTTCAAGTGTTATGAACTATGTAAGCCCCATAATGAATTTAGATGGTGGGGAAAAAGGTGATTTAGTCTGACATATTACCATGTTACTATTTCATTAAAATAAAATAAAAATTGCTATTTGCTTACTTGGATTCTGAATTTTCACTGTAGAATCTGGTTCTGGGTGTGGTTTGTGTACAACTTGAGTACATACTTGCTCTGTCAATATCTAAAAGATGAAGAATTTTAATTTCAATTATAAAAAAATTTAAAACTAAAAGAAAAATATATACTTAAATTTTAAAAGAATGTAAGTTCTGTTCAAATTAAGAGAAATATCTCTTCTAAATGGTCTTCTAGTGTATTCTACATACTTCTAAACTATGGATTCTTCAATTTTTGTTTGTTTTTATTTTCTTAATTATAAAGACAAAAAAAAGATCAGTATCTATAGAAAAGAAAACTTAATTAGTAAATGAAAGAATTTATTCTGTTTAAAATGCATTTTCAGCATACATCCTTAATATATTATGATGCAAATTGCAAATATTTGACTCTTGATGTCAACATTAATTTTTAAAACTTAGAAAATAAGTAAATAAAATCAAGTCTGAAACCTGGGTCCCAATTCAAACTGAAATGCCATAAGAAAAAATTCTTTAAAAACAAAAAACAAAAAACCCCCATTTTATTGATTTCAGAGAGAAAGGGAGAAAAAAAAAGAGAGAAACAACAATGATAAGAGAGAATCATTGATCGGCTGTATCCTGCATGCCCTAATGGGCATGTGCCCTGTCCAGGAATCAAACTATGACTTCTGAGTTATAGGTCAATGTTCAACCAGAGCCACCCCAGAAGGGCTATAAGAGAAAAATTTTAAAAATAAAATATGTGGCTCATTATCATTTACAAAAGAGTTTTAAACACTTCTTTCAAACAATAGTAAAATACCAAAAGTTAATCAAATAAAGTAAAACAATTCTAAAACATTTAATAATTTTTCCCCTAACAAAATCTTGATGAGTACAGTATTCTTTCTCCTGCGCCCCTATTATTTTCACTTAGTTATTGAGTAAAGGTATTTATATTAGTGATTTAATTTCTTGTTTTGCTTAATATGCTAAGTTTTGAATTAAAAATAGTTCAAGGCTTCCCCCAAAATAGTTCAGCCTAGATTAAAGTACAAAAACTATAAAAGTAAGTTGAATTAGTTATTTTGCAAAAATTGGGGATGAAGAAAGTAAATTATAAAAAAAGAGACATAGCCAATCCCTTCGAAATAGAAAAAGATGCTGACATCCAAAGATCACATTTTTCTTACTTTCCTCCCCAGATTTTTTTGAAAAAAGAAAAAAAAAATAGGAAATGTACTTAGTTATGTTAGAAATGTATATAAAAAAGGCATTGACTTAATATAAAAACTAGCCGCATTTTAAGTATTTACTAGCTACATGAGACTAGTGACTCATATAAGAGTAGGCATGAAAATAATAGTGCATTGAGGTAACTGAATAAATATGCTATTTACAGACATAAACCTAACTTAGCATTTACATTTAAATTGTATTTTATAAATGGAATTATTTCCCATCAGAGGCTTTCCTTCACAGCTGGGCCTCATCTGGGCACTTCCAAACCTTGTACAAAGAGGAGGAATCTGTAGATGTCCTTGTAGCTCCTGCTGGGCAGCCCCAGACAGTGGCTGACTTTGCACCTCCTTGGAGTTCCAAGAGTCAGTGTACCCAGTGGTCAGAGTGAGACCATACCAGATTACACTTCACATCCATAAGAGACACACTCAAGGGGCAGACTCAGTGAGCACGAAAGTCCCCCTGAAGCAAGTCCTGCCCCATAAGGGTGTCTCCTGCACAACAGATCTTCCAATGTAGATACAGCTGGTCAAAACAGTCTATTGGCCTGGAGGTCAATTCCTCTCAGTGATAACAACAGCAATCAAGAGTTAACTACAACAAGCCTGTGCACACAGCCCACAAAGGGGTGCACCAAGAGCATCCACCTCAGGTGACTGGTGAGGATGAGACTCTAGGCCCTTTAGGACACCAACCACACAAGGCCAATCTGTCAACTCAAGGAGATTTAGCAGCTACCAAACATAGGGAAGCAGCCAAAATTAAGAAACAAACAAGTCACAAATGAAAGAAATGGATAAAAGCAAAATACTGGATATAGAGTTCAAAACCATGGTTATAAGTTTACTCAACAATCTTCTAGAAACCTCTGAGAAATATAGTGATACCCTCAAGGATATGAAAAAGAACCAATCAGAAATTAAGCATGCCAGGCCCGGGGGAGCAGGCGGGTCGGGTGCGGCCAGGCCCGGAGCAGCGGCTGCCAGGCTGGGAGCGGCCAGGCCCGGAGCAGCAGCAGCCAAGTCCAGAGCAACTAGGTCGGGAGCGGCAGTGACCAGACCCGGAGCAGCTGGTTGTGGAATGAACCAGAGCAACAGAGGCCAGGCCCTGAGCAGCCAGGCCCAGAACAGCTCGCTCCTTGCCTGCCCCTGCCCCACGGCTGCTTCTCAGACATGGCTGGAAACTTTCGTGGGAACTTGAGGGTCTGCTGAATCAAGTGATGAAGGCTTAGATCTGGTGTGTTAAGTTAGTTTAGGACTGGGGTGTTGATCTGTGAGTGCCTTGGGTGGGGCCTGGATGAGGCTAGTGGACCTATTGGGAAATGTCTTTTGTGTGAAGTGTATCAATTGGCATGTGGAGGTATTATTGATATGAGAAAATGCTAAGTAACTGATTTACTATCTGAAAAGGGATTTACTATTGGGGAAATTGAGGGAAGAAGAGACTGAACATAAACTGCACCTATGGATGAGGACAATGGGGGATGGGGAGGGGGCAGAGGGTGGGGTGGGAACTTGGTGGAGGGGGGAAGAAATGAGGAACCTTTGTAATAATATGAACAATAAAGATTGATTAAAAAAAAAAGAAATTAAGCATGCACTGAAATAAAGAATAATATACAGAGATCCAACAGCAGACTAGAGGATCCCAAGAATCAAGTCAAAGATTTGAAATACAAAGAAGCAAAAAACACCCATCTGTCAAAGCAAAAAGCAAAAAAACAAACAAATAAAAAATCCAAACGTATGAAGATAGTGTAGTAAGGAGCCTCTGGGACAACTTCAAGTGTACCGGCATCCAAATTATGGGGGTGCCAGAAGAAGAGAGAGAGCAAGATATTGAAGACCTATTTGAAGAAATGACAGAAAACTTCCCCTGCTTGGTGAAATAAATAGATGTACAAGTCCAGGAAGCACAGAGAACCCAAAACAAGAGGAATCTAAAGAGGACCACACCAAGACACATCAAAATTAAAATACCAAGGGTTAAAGACAAAGAGAGAATCTTAAAAGCAGCAAGAGAAAAACAGTTATCTACAAAGGGAGTACCTGTAGAGAACTGCCTGAGAAAGCTCATGGACATTCTTTAATTCTTATCAGCTGAGCCCGAGGGCACTGGCAGAATCCTGTTATCAGTACTAATTTCTTAATCCATGGGCTTGGAATGAGGAACAAATAGGACCTTGATTCACCCAGGTCTTAATATGCTAAATCTTGTACCAAAAAATAAGGAGCTTACCCAGATTTTGATGAATAGGATCTGGGCACACTCGAAAGTCCTTTTGACCTTAAACTACCCTTTGGAAGCCAATAAATATGCTGTGTTGTTTGTGGTGAGTGTGACTGTCTCTCCATCAGAGAGATGGCACCCACCTAGCTCCCAGCTTTATGAATCTATTTCTGCCTCTAGTCTCTTTTTCTTTCTCTAATTTCTTAATCCCCAGCTCCTCTCCTCAGGAACCAGTCATTTTTTCCGTGTGGGATGCAGAAAAAAGAGAAACACCACAAGTACCTGTACAATTCTCAACAGAAACTATGCAGCTAGAAGGGAGTGGCAAAAAGTATTCAAAGTGATGAATAGCAAGAACCTACAACCAAGATTACTCTTCCCAGCAAAATTATCATTCAGAATTGAAGGTTATTTAAAGAGCTTCACAGACAAGAAAAAAACTAAAGGAATTCATCACCACCAAACCAGTATTATATGAAATGTTGATGGGTATTCTCTAAGAAGAAGAAGAAAAAAGTAAAGATAAAAATTATGAACAACCAAATGATAACAAATACGTATCTATCAACAAGTGAATCTAAACATCAATTGATTAAAAAATCTGAAGAACAAAATAAACTTGTGAATATAATAGAATTAGGGGCATAGAAAGGGAGTAGACTGACAATTCTCAAGGGGAAGGGGCTGTGTGGGGTACAGGAAGAGATTGGACAAAAATCTTATATCTATGGAAGGGGACAATGGAGGGAGAGGGGTAAGGGCATAGAGTGGGGTGGGAACCAGGTGCAGGGGAGCAATTGGGAGGGAGGGGGAGAAGAGGTACAACTGTAATAATCTGAACAATACTTATTTTAAAAAAAGATTTAAACTTGAATACCTTCATATAAAAAATCTGTGCTCAATAACCATTATACTCTTATAAAAAAAGACAAAGTAACTAAAAATATACATTTAAAAATCAGTTAATTATTTCTGTAAGAAATAATTATATCATGTTTTGCTTAGCATATTAAGTAAAACAAGAAATTAAATCACTAATATAAAAATCCCAAACTGTGAGGTCTCTGCACTGTTTAACTGAATTATAGGAATAGGATGTAAAGAGAAGTATTTTACCCAAATCTATAAAGAGACATTAATATCACAATACCTAATTAAGTAATGTGTCTAATAGTATTGTTGAGATCAATAAGAATGTTAAAAAGTCCAGTTTTTTCATTAGAAGACATATTTTAAAATCTAACAAATAATTCTGAAGCATGATAAAAATAACTAAGAAAACACAAATATAATTTATAGATGGAGTGAAATATAAAATAAAGCAAATGAAATTTAAGACATATTTTGCAAATGTAATTATCAAAATTGGTTGTATAAAAATAGCTTTGTGTAATTTCAAAGAAGAGTCTATTAAAGCTAACTCACTTCTTAGTATATGAGATTCAAGAATAAATTCTCAGAAAACCAGGAGACAGGGATGTTTTCTTAATAATTTTTTAGTTTATATAATAATTAGCATTCTTACATTTTCATAACTTAAGCAATGTTGTCTGTTATATCTTGCTAAAATAAAAGCCTAACTTACTTTGTCCTTTAATATTTGTTATTTATTCTATTACAACTATTCTATTAGATTTAGAATTTTAAAGATCACAGTGACATAGTCCTTATCCTAACTGGACTTTCACTTTGTGAAAACGACATGTTCTAAAATGTCATTATTGTCACCACAGGTTTTTGTTTTTTTAAAATATATTTTATTTATTTTTTACAGAGAGGAAGAGAGAGGGATAGAGAGTTAGAAACATCAATGAGAAAGAATCATCAATCAGCTGCCTCTTGCACACCCCCTACTGGGGATGTGCCTGCAACCAAGGTACATGCCCTTGACCGGAATCGAACCTGGGACCTTTCAGTCAGCAGGCTGACGCTCTATCCACTGAGCCAAACCGGTTTCAGCTCACCACAGGTTTTATACAGTTATTATTTCTGTACTTATTTTTACACATTTCTATGCTGTGGTGATATTGATTTTGATACACTAGCCGGGATTAATATAATTTCCCTAAGCCAAAAAAGAGAATAAGATGAAATGAGCTTGCTAACTATAGATTATCAACCAAATCCTTCTAGGGGTGCAGACCCTGGTTGATTCAGGATGCATGAAATCCAGCTGCAGGTTTTCAGGTGATTTTTATTTCTTTCTTTTTTTCCCCCTTTGGTTATATTTCACTTGCTATATTAATTGGAATTTAAGTTCAAATCTATTATATGAATTTTAATGTTTTGCAATAGATGTCACCCTCTAAAATGATACAGTATTTAAACTGGTGATCTGGAATTAGTCATCCACCTTCCTGTCAATCTGATAAAACAATTTGATTTGTTAGTTTTAATAAAGCTTATTTTAAAGATACTTTCTAAGTTTTTTGAGATCTACATTTCTTTTTTTTAAAATATATTTTAATGTATTTTTATAGAAAGGAAGGGATAGAGATAGAGAGCTAGAAATGTTGATGAGAGAGAAACACCGACCAGCCGCCTCCTGCACACCCACCACTGGGGATGTGCCCGCAATCAATGTACATGCCCCCGACCGGAATTGAACCTGGGACCCTTCAGTCCGCTCTACCACTGAGCCAAACCGGTTTAGGTGAGATCTACATTTCTATCTAATCACATCATTACCATTTTTCTTTTTGGACTTTTTGTACACGTGCATTAACTGTCCTTCTTAGAGCATCAATTAACTCAGAGTTCTTCATTCCAATTAGCCATAATTATTATTCTACTTTAAAAGCATATATTTTTGTTGAATTGGTCAGACAGTAAGTCAGTTACTTTATCATTTCAGAAACTCTATGAAATCCAGTATCAGAAGATCCAACCTTATCATGGCTGTTCTACCTAAGATATGAAATCAGGAATTATACACTAAACTTGGCTTTGTTTAGTGTGTAATATCATTACAGACCACAATCTGGATACTAAAAGCATGCACGTGAGTATAGATAGTACGTGAAAATGCTGCTGTACTTGCTACTGAGCCACTTTTCAGGAAGATTAATAGAAATACATGTGTATGTATTCTTATTTTAAGGTTAGGAATAAATAATGAGTTTTCAAATTCAACTTATTATATTGTTATACTTTACTTTTCTCCTAATATATAAAAACCCTGGGTCCGTCACATCCACAAGGACTTGAGGCTGAAACTAATGCCCAGGCTGCAGGAGCAGCAGGCTCTGCTGGGTGGGGACTTGTGGCAGCGGAGACCAGGACAGGGGAGGTGAGGCTACACTCACACTCACTCACAACCACACACATGCACAGACACACACAGCATCCACCAGCTCACAGCCTTTTCTCCCTTTCTTTTCTTCCCTTCCAGCTGGCTCCAGGAGTCACTCTCAGAATGAGGAAACGAAACAGAAAGCCTGAAGAGGCCTGGATTCAAGGGAGGGAGGACAGAGGGTGGAGCAGCCGCCATTGGCCCCACCCCCTCCCAGCCAAGAAAGAGGAAGAGGGAGACATGAATGCAGGGGGGTCTGGAGGACTGCTGAGAAAAACAAAGAGAGACAGAGACTGGGGGAAATCAGGCTGGCAGGGAAGGACATTTGGGGCAACCAGGCTGGCAGGGGAGGGCAGTTAGGGGTGAGCAGGCAGGCAGGAAAAGGCAGTTAGGGGTGATCAGGCAAGTAGGCAGAGAGGTTGGGGCAATCAGACAGGCAGGCATGTAGAGGCTGTTAGGAGTGATCAGGCAGCAGGCAGGTGAGCAGTTAGGAGCCAGTGGTCCCAGATTACAAGAGGAATGTTCCCCTGCCGGATTAGGTCCTGATTGGAGAGGGTGCAGGCTTGGCTGTGGGAACCCCCTCCATGCATGAATTTCATGCACCAGGCCACTAGTTTTAATATAAAGTTTCATTGTTTACGAAGACTTTCTACCATATTGACACTATGTTGACACTATATTGACACTACCATATTGTTATAAAAACAAGCAGGTCAGAAATTCATGTAGGCAATAGATATAGATTAGAGATAGAGATAGAGATATAGCGATAGAGATAGAGATTAAAAAAATATACAGACATCATTAACCAAAGCAATCAGTAGGAAGACACCAAGATAGAAAAACAAGTTAATTAATATTAGAGACTAGAATTCAGAACTCTGATATTTTAGCAAAGGTTCTGATTCAGATGACTTTAATGCTTTCAATTTGAAGGTATATTCTGACATTTTTTGCCTTACACATATATACTAAGGAAATTGCATATTGTATTATATAACTACTTATCAATGGTAAGACATAGAACAAATAATCTAAACTGTGAGTCTCAGTTTGTTTGTTTAAAAAAGCAATAAAAATACCAGTTTCATAGGGTTGTTTCAAGGATCTAAAATAATATTGTAAAGAACTTGCCAAGATGACTACTGTAGGAAGTACCCAAAAAAGAAATAATTATTAGAAAAATAAATCAGAATCAAGATGTCCTATATAATTTAAGTCTGTCTGTTAATGAGTGCTTATTCATCCTTGTACATAAAATATTAGTGCAATAAAAAAAGGAAAACTCTGTGTAAAGCAAATTACCTAATCCATACTCAAAGAAATGTCCTTGGACCAACATAAAAATTGGCAAATAAATGTACATGGATATATTTGGATATAAAATATAAAACTGCAATTGTTTTTTTTATTTTCTAAAATGATTACTGGCTTTGTACGTTAATTGACCAACAATGGATCCTAATTCCATAGAGAATATCCACTTCATACATTTCAAATTGACATCACACATTTTAAAATGTTTACCTCATAAAGTGTGTTGTATGTAGTAACAGTCACAGTATTTGTATGCAACATCAGCCTTTCTCCAAGAAGAGTGAAAAGACTATGGGTATGCATAATTTCAACTTTTCTCCTGGAGAAAAAGAGATTAAAAACAAAAAACAAACATCACACAGTGATATAAAACACATTGAATTTTCTATCTCATGATTTGAGATTTAAAAAAAATACAATCTTTAAGCAGATACACAATTATATAAGTAATAATCTTTATTAACTTCCACCTACAAAAAAAGAATTTATAGCACAGATATTTCCGAAAATTCCAATAATACTACTTAAACATTTCTCAAATAAAATATCTTGCAAACTAAAATGTGAAATATAAAAATTTATATTATATAGAATTATAAAATATTATGTATATGTTAACAGCTATCATTTTCAAATTTCTAATAACTATTTAGGAGTTCTTTTTATTAGGTTTAGATTTTTGGATTCCCCTAACACAGACCACAGAATTTTTAAATCCTTTCTATTCAAATGGAAGTATATAAAATAGTCTATGACAAACTTTAATATCAAGAACTTAAAATTGTAGTTAAAAATGAATATTCTAGCTTAAAGTGGAGATTACAAAACTAAGAAATTGACAGAAGTGAAGCAGATTCATTACTGCTTGTACTCTTAGTCTGCCATTGCATTAAAAAACCAAATAAACAAACAAACAACCCTTTCTATATAGTTACTTATTGTTGACTCATTCAAATGCCCTTCTTCCCTAATCCATAATGAGGATAGAAGGCACTATTGAAGGCCTCCTAAAATACATAGCTCTAGCTCAGGGAATTATTACAAGCTTCTCATTCACTTCACTTTCTTAAAATCCAAGCTCAGGGTCTTCTTGGTTCCGAACCCAATATATTTCACTTCTTACCTTGATTTCTCATGGTTCCCTGTTTAGATTTGGCAACTATGACATAAAATGACTAGATAATCACCAAATTCTTGTTGCTTTCTTCCTGAGCCTGAGACCACAGCTATATACTATAGTTAGGTGTGACCATTTAACTAAAGACTGCGAACAGGAAAGTTAATATACTCTGATTTCCTTCTTCACAAACCAAACGAGTTATTTTGTTTTTGTTTTTGTTTTGTTTTTTTCTGATGGTCATAGAAATAACTCTTGTAACAAATTCAGAGAGTAAGTTAGAACAGGAAAAAAGAAAAAAGAAACCTATAACTATTAACTCAGAGATAGTTTTAAGTATCAGTTTATGTTATTCTAGATTACTAAGAAGATGACAAAAATATGATACACATGCAAAAATAACTCTGTATAAAGTAATTTGTTACTTGTGTCCCATAAATCAATATATTACATTTTGCCCTAGCCAATTTGGCCCAGTGGATAGAGTGTTGGCCCATGGACTGAATGATCCCCGGTTCAATTTTGGACAAGGGCTTACCCAGGTCAGAGCACATGGGGAGGCAACCAAACGATGTGTCTTTCTCACACAGATGTTGCTCTATTTCGGTCTCTCCCTCTCCCTTTCACTCTCTTTAAAAATCAAGGGAAATATATTCTCTGGTGAGGATTGACAACAAAAAACACTTTTTTTTAAACTGTCATTAAATATAATTGATAATAAGAATGTAGCATAATAATCTAGTCACTACTGCTGACTATTTGTTATTAATAAAAATTTCTACCCAAAACTTGGTGCCTTTATTTTTATTTTGGGCATATCCATGATTATTCCCTTAGGACAAATTCCTGAAACTGAAATGATTTAGTAATAGCTATTACATTTAATTTTATTTTTTGAAACCTTACAGTTTAAAACCTCTCGAAATATGTACATTCAAACTTCCACTGTCAAAGTATAAATGCATTTTATAAGCAGTTTCAACAATTATCATGTTTCCCCGAAAATAAAACATCCTCTGAAAATAAGACCTACTTACAGGTGTCCTTCTGAGTGAAATATAAGGAATCCCCTGAAAATAAGGTGCCCCTAGGCTCTGACTCAGAATGAAAATTAATTTACCATAAACTGGTCACTGTGCTGTCCCGACTGGCATCTAGCAACCAGTGACCTGATGTCACTGCTGGGTGGAGGCAGAGTGGAGGTCGGAGTGAGCTATGAGTGCGGGGCTGGAGAGAGGAGGAGACTTTCGTAGATGCGTGTAAGAGAACAGGAGGATTAGAGCAGACAGGACACGGCGAAGGTGGTGAGTGCTGGTCTGTCTCTGGTGACACTACCTGATGCTTGCAGCCACCCTCATGATGACTGAAGGTTCTCAGTCAGTGGCAGACCCTGCTCCAGCCCAGATCCAGGCCCCAGCAAGCCCAGTGACAGTCCCCAGGCAGGCCCAGGGGGTAAATGTCTGATAAAGGGGTAGGGGGGATGTCTGGTGAAGGTATTCAGTGGCACAGGGGTGGGGGGAGGGGGATCACTTAAAATGACACAGGAGGATATGAGGAGGCAATCAAAGTGACACAGGAGCATCAAAAGGGGTTACTGAAATGGTAATCCCCCCTCTGATTCTCCTGTGCCATTTTGATTCCCCCTTCTAATTCCCTATGTCATTTTAAGTGATCCCTCTCCCCCCACCTTGATACCCCAATTCCTTTTTTCTTTTACCCTAGAAATGAGTGCAAAAAGAAAAAGCTACTCCATGGAGTACAAGAAAGGAATCGTGGAAGACTCTTGGGGCCAAAATATTACTGCTTTCTGCAAAGAGAAGATGTTGAGGATCTGATTGGTCTGAAAATGGCAAGCAGAAAATAAACAAGTGGACAAGGGAAATGCTAAAAAGCGCAAGTGTGGATCAGGTCAGCAACCATTATCTTCCGAGCTGGAAGACCTGAACTGTGAATGGGTTCTTCACAGGAGAGTAGAGGCTTTGGTTCTGAATAGGGCTCAGATTCAAGAATTTGCCCTTGCAATGGCACCACAGTTTGACATAGCCCCCGAAGACTTCAAAGCATCACAACACTGGCTGGATAATTTCCTTCAGCGAAGTGAACTGTCTTTAAGAAGATCTACAACGTTGTTTAGGTTGGAAGATAGTCAAGTTATTAAGCCAGCACTTGCATTCAAGTCCTTTATTGATGATGCTGACTTCTTTAAATAAATACAATCTTTTCAACATGATTGCTATGGATGAAACTGCAGTGTTTATGGGCCAATCATCTCAAACAACAATTGAACAGCAGGGTGCCTCCTTAGTGTGCATTCCCTCCACTGATTATGAAAATGCAAGTGTTTCCTGTATTTTGGCAATTAGTCTGGATGGCACTAAAATCCTCCTTTAATCATTTCTAAGGGCAAGAAGGAAAAGATTGAACATGTTTTGGGCGTTTTTATTCTTGAAACTGAAAAAGCCTGGGCCACACAGTTATAAGGAAGTGGGTCAATTTAATGCAGCCCCTTGTTATGCCAGGGAGCCAAAGAGGTCTGCTAGTCTGGGATGTAGCCAGGACTCACTGCGCTAAAGACATGAAGAGGTTTCTTCACGAAAGAAAAATAGATCAGATAATGATTCCCCCAGGAATGACGGCCTATCTCCAGACTCTTGATATTGCAATAAACAAGCCATTCAAAGACAATTTGCGCATGGAAATTAATGACTACATTAAAAATAGAATGGAGAGAAATCAGCGTGGAAACTTTGTGAAACCTAAACTGCAAGAAGTTGTGACTTGGGTGAAGAATTCATGGGAGAAAATCACTGATAGTTGCATTGCAAATGCACTGCAAGCAGGCTACCTTGATAAGAAGTACTCATTTAAAGACAGTGCTATTGCTAAACATGAGAGATTTGGTCCACTGACTCTGAAAGAAATGGAGTCACAAGAAATTCACCAGGAAATTCAAAAATTGGATTGTTATGATGATGTTTCAGAAGATGATGACATGATTGTCATTGAATAAATGAGTAAATTCTTGATACTGTAGGATTCACAGTTTGTCTGGTTTGTGTTGACAACTCCGTATACAGGTAATAAATTTCCTTTATTTTCATTTAACAATAAATGTGTACCGTATTCTTCTTCATGGAAAAATAAGACATCCCCTGAAAATAAGACCTAGTGCATCTTTGGGAGCAAAAATTAATATAAGACACTGTCTTATTTTGGGGGAAACAGGGTATTAATCTTATAATAATCATGAAAGCAGTCAATGTGACATGCAAAAAATAGAATTTTAATTTACAAGAAGGGCTAACAAATGCTCACAAGTTTTTTCACCATTTACATATTTCTAAGAACTGCCTGATGCCATCCTCTAACCATTTTTTAAATCTCTGTATCACCTTTTTCTTACTAAATATAAGAATTCTCATAATATAAAGTATATTACTTCACAAATAATTGACAAATATTTTCCACATTTTGAATTTCAAGGGTTGTTGTTGTCTTCTTGGCAATGAGATGGTTTAAGAAATATTTAAGAAATATATATAAAACTAATTTTTAAAAATTGTGAAACTGAGGTGACTTTCTCCACCCCAAAAATATACAATTTATTTTTAAAGTATCTATGAAGTTTAAAAAAGAAATTATGAATTAAAGAGTAAAATGCTAATATATTTTGACCAAACATTTCAGTTTTGGAAATTATTAATTTCCCATAAATTAAAAAGAAAATTAGATTTTCCACACTTCATGTCACCCCCATTTTTGTGACCTACATTACTATTTTAACATTCTAAAGGTTTAAAATATTTAGATTATGTTTATGTTAACGTCATTATATATTAGTTGCTAGATCTTGACCTATTTTAAATTGAGTTCCTTCATTTTGTCTTCATCATTTATGATTTCATTTACTTTTTATTTTAAATTCTTTATTCCTTAAATTATTATATATAGTATTGCATATGTCTCCCTTTTCCCCCATGGACCTCTCCATAGCCAACCCTATCCCCAAGCACATGCCATCATCCCCCTAGTGTCTGTGTCCACTAAATATGCTTCTATGCATACATATAAATCCTTTGGTTAATGTCTTAACCACCTTTTCACCCTCGGCCTTCCCTCTGAAGTTTGATGGTCTGTTCCATGCTTCTATGTCTCTGAATCTATTTTTGTTCATCAGTTTATGTTTTCATTATAATCCACAA